GACAGAGGACTATAATAGGGATGGACAGGACTGTTTGGTACAAACACATAGGAGTTCCTCATACTTAACCCTGAGATGGGTTACCAGATTTCACCCTGTGTTCTATTGGGTTTTTACATGCCTCTATCTATCCTCCTCTCATATAATTTATTTGGCTAATAACATTATTTCATATAATACTGATGGATTTTATTTAGAACTTATGTTTAAAGTTCCTGCAGTTTGAGATTGTTTTTGTATAGAATTCCTGAGAGAAGATATCTCTGACCCTCTGTCTGCAGCACCATACAGCCACCTGCTGTGTGGGAGTGTTCTTTCCTTGGCTTCAACAAACACCCACGGTCCTCTCAGACTCCACACTGACTAATCTATGTGTTAGAGATATAACTTTTAACATGTAGGAGTACAAAACTGTATTAGCTTAATTAGCAAACTCAAATTATGTTTGATTGTTATGGCTTTACATGTACAGTGGGGAGAACAAGTATTTGATACACTGCCGATTTTGCAGGTTTTCCTACTTACAAAGGTCTGTAATTTTTATCATAGGTACACTTCAACTGTGAGAGACGGAATCTAAGACAAAAATCCAGAAAGTCACATTGTATGATTTTTAAGTAATTAATTTGCATTTTATTGCATGACATAAGTATTTGATCACCTACCAACCAGTAAGAATTCTGGCTCTCACAGCCCTGTTAGTTTTTCTTTAAGAAGCCCTCCTGTTCTCCACTCATTACCTGTATTGACTGCACCTGTTTGAACTCGTTACCTGTATAAAAGACACCTATCCACACACTCAATCAAACAGACTCCAACCTCTCCACAATGGCCAAAACCAGAGAGCTGTGTAAGGACATCAGGGATAAAATTGTAGACCTGCACAAGGCTGTGATGGGCTACAGGACAATAGGCAAGCAGCTTGGTGAGAAGGCAACAACTGTTGGCGCAATTATTAGAAAATGGAAGAAGTTCAAGATGACGGTCAATCACCCTCGGTCTGGGGCTCCATGCAAGATCTCACCTCGTGGGGCATCAATGATCATGAGGAAGGTGAGGGATCAGCCCAGAACTACACGGCAGGACCTGCTCAATGAACTGAAGAGAGCTGGGACCACAGTCTCAAAGAAAACCATTAGTAACACACTACGCCGTCATGGATTAAAATCCTGCAGCGCACGCAAGGTCCCCCTGCTCAAGTCAGCGCATGTGCAGGCCCGTCTGAAGTTTGCCAATGACCATCTGGATGATCCAGAGGAGGAATGGGAGAAGGTCATGTGGTCTGATGAGACAAAACTAGAGCTTTTTGGTCTAAACTCCACTCGCCGTGTTTAGAGGAAGAAGAAGGATGAGTACAACCCCAAGAACACCATCCCAACCGTGAAGCATGGAGGTGGAAACATCATTCTTTGGGGATGCTTTTCTGGAAAGGGGACAGGACGACTGCACCGTATTGAGGGGAGGATGGATGGGGCCATGTATCGCGAGATCTTGGCCAACAACCTCCTTCCCTCAGTAAGAGCATTGAAGATGGGTCATGGCTGGGTCTTCCAGCATGACAACGACCCGAAACACACAGCCAGGGCAACTAAGGAGTGGCTCCATAAGAAGCATCTCAAGGTCCTGGAGTGGCCTAGCCAGTCTCCAGACCTGAACCCAATAGAAAATCTTTGGAGGGAGCTGAAAGTCCGTATTGCCCAGCGACAGCCCAGAAACCTGAAGGATCTGGAGAAGGTCTGTATGGAGGAGTGGGCCAAAATCCCTGCTGCATTGTGTGCAAACCTGGTGAAGACCTACAGGAAACGTATGATCTCTGTAATTGCAAACAAAGGTTTCTGTACCAAATATTAAGTTCTGCTTTTCTGATGTATCAAATACTTATGTCATGCAATAAAATGCAAATTAATTACTTAAAAATCATACAATGTGATTTTCTGGATTTTTGTTTTAGATTCCGTCTCTCACAGTTGAAGTGTACCTATGATAAAAATTACAGACCTCTACATGCTTTGTAAGTAGGAAAACCTGCAAAGTCGGCAGTGTATCAATTACTTGTTCTCCCCACTGAATTAAGAATACTGCAGGATGGTGTGCTTCTTGCAAACTTAAAGTTATAATTAGGGCCCTGGGTTTTACCTGACCATCACCAGGAAAAACTCTGAGCCCTTATTATACCTGGCTAGTTGTAACATATAGTTGCAATACCACTATCTGTTCACCACTTTTCACAAAGAAAAAAAGGCACGTTCTGAGGCATGTTCCCCAACATACAGTATAGATGGTCTGGTGTTTGATGATAGATTAGTTATCTCAAGCACTGAACCAGACTTCCAGCCAATGACAAGCACTGCTGCTCGTGTCTCATCACACTTTCACAAGGAACAATTAATCAAAGATGGAGATGTGACACACAGGAACAGTTATTCTACTCCCCATTCACTGGATAAGCATGGATAAGTGCTAAGGATGGGTGGTGAAAGGAAAGTGATGATTGATTTTCAAAACCCCATGTGTAGGACTGACCAGACTACAACTATGGTCTGAACAAACAAATAAAGGTGTGTATACAATATAGCCTACGTGTGGAAAAGACTAATGCATGATTCTTCCAGAGAGCAGAAGTGACAGTGTTAAAACATTCTAGGCTTTCATCCCTCCCTCTTGGATATGGCATGTCTTTACAGCATAATAATAAGCTCCTTTATCGTTCCTTTTCTGTAAACAGTGGATAGACTGAGAGGAAATACAGTTCTCATGGCCACCCTTCCATTGAGAGCTCAATTTTTTATTTATTTTTTATATTCTTCCATTTTTATATATATATTTTGTCATTTAGCAGACACTCTTATCCAGAGCAACTTACAGGAGAATTAGGGTTAAGTGCCTTGCTCAAGGGCACATCAACAGATTTTTCACCTAGTCTGCTCGGGGATTAGAACCAGCAACCTTTCGGTTACTGGCACAACGCTCTTAACCACTAAGCTACCTGCCGCCACGGGGCAAGCCATCAGGTTCCCCTAATTGTAAACAGAATGTACGCTATGAAACGTACACTGGCCTCGGAGAAAGATGTCAAATAAATACAGCAGGTTTGATAAGTGACCCCTCTTGTTTTTTTTTCCGTTCTTGTTATTGCTCATTCTTTCAATATTTTACACCCTTTATTTTCTTCTGTTTGGGGTTGGGGGTGAGAGTGAGAGCATGTGTGTGTGTGTAGAATGGCTGGCAAAGTGGCGTGTGTGAGGGTAAACAGAGGATCATGTTTGGTGGATGGATCTTTCAGGCAGGCAGGCAGCTACAGCCCCTCCTGCGTAGGACAGCCCCTCCTGCGTAGGACAGCCCCTCCTGCGTAGGACAGCCCCTCCAGCCCCCTTGCAGCAGGGAGCAACAAACAATCCCATCTGGCCCACAGAAACCCAGTCCTGTGATACAGGCTGCCATGGTGTTGTTTCTCTTCTTTCTCTCTCTTTTCAGAATGTCAACTCATGCATTCATTTGCACCCTCTCAGTGTTATGTTAGCAGTACAAAACTGCTTTTAATTAATGCATAGCAAAACAATTCCCTTAGATTGGGTTTAACCCATATCTCTCTGGTGGGCTTGGCAGGAGCAAAGCTAGGATTCTTAATGTAACTTTAAGTTACATAAGTTATTGCTCACATCCAGATAGATTGCAAATATTTTTAGGACTATAGCATGTAAAGCTATTTGTGGTATAATCCCATTCTTGTCACTGTAACATGTGAAGTCCCTTGACTGTGTTTTCTTAAAATCAGACAACCAACAATTCAATATTTTTACTTCCAGTCAACTGTCCTCTGCTTCCCAGTTCTTCAGGCCTATGTCTAGGCTATTCACCTGTGGTTCACTAACGCCCTCTTCAGGTGATTTATTGTAAACTCATTGCATGCCTCCTATAATCTTTGCCCAGGGTTGTGAAATCCTGGGAATTTTCCAAATGTGAAAAATTCCATGGGACTACTGGTGGGGATTTTTGCACACTGACTTACTATTTTGTTCTCTTTGTCATCAAATAAGACATACTCTTCCATACAAATAATAATAGGCTTTATTTAGGTTTTGAACTTCAATTAAGTAGTGCTCAGTTCTGAACAAACAGAGTAAAAACTCAAACGGACAGCTAGGAAAAGCTCAAACCAAGTTTATTCACCCACTGGGTCATACAGCTGCAAAGACAACATACAAGTCACACAAGCACATATTTATACCTTCCAACTAGGCAGACTCATCTCCTTGCATGTCTAAGACAGACACTACTTCTCTGTTGTTAGGCAGAAACACAGTAGGTTCCTCTTACTGGTATTGTCATGGCCCTGCCTAAGTCTAGGACCCTCATGGGCATGGAAATGTGTGTGTGTGTGTGAGATAGGACTGCGTTCAGATGGCCTTCGGGGTGGGCCCCTGTGGCCCCCCTCCCAGCAGTGTCTTCTCTCTTCAACTGTTGACCTTATCTCGAGTTGAGTTCCACATCCCTCATGGTCCTGGTTCCACAGCAACTGGTCTGCCTTATCAGGAACAAACTAGACTACTGTTGCCCTTTGCCTCCCTCCTTAGGAACATTCATATTCAACAATAACATATTTGAACAGAATATTAACTTTCTGCACTTCCCCTTTTCTCACTCAGTAACTTTCCATATCACTCAGTAACTTTCCACACAAAGGTCCTCTTTACCCTTCATTGACCCCTAACATATACATTCCGTATACATGTGAAATAATCAAGAAGTTCTGGTATGGTAACATGAATAAGTATATTTCAAGATAGAATCCAACATTAGCCTAAAATTGTACTTGTAATCTACTTTGTAAAATTGCTAGAATTATCCAATAAACATTATTTTAACAAAATTATAAATGTATCATGTGCATCTGAACCCCCCCCCCCCCCCTCCAAAAAGGCATCTAAAAATAAAATGATAAACCTGTCCACTTATTAAGCTTGTTGTCCATATGTTGTCCCTTTTTCATCCTTAGTTGCTCATTCAGACTCTGATTTAATGTCCATTTCCTCCTTTGTATCACTCTGAAGCTGTGTGCTGGACCCTAGTTCTGTTCCTGGCTCAAAAAGGTTAAGGTTCGCCCTGATAGCCACCAATTTCTCCACTCTGTTGTTTGTTAGACTGTTGCCCACCTTTGTTTGGGTTTTCCCAAAGAATGCTCTGTGGCGCACAGAGGCTGCTGATGTTGGTGGGATCTGAAGGATCACAGAGGCGATGGGTGACAGGGCCTCAGATGCACAGAGCCCCTTCCACCAGGTGTAGGGAGAAATGTGCTGGCATGATTGCCATATCCCATCCCCATTCCAAAGGCCTTGCTTGGTAGAGAACTTTGCCAGACTTGCCAGAACTTTACCCTCATCAAGATTGAGGTGGTGTGAGAGGGTAGAAATCACATAGTATGCACTGTTGATCTGTTCTCCAGAAAGTATTTGTTTCCCAATATGCTTCGGATCTAGCATGTATGCTGCTGCGTGAATTGGCTTGATACAAAACTCTCCACACATCTCCACAAATCGAACAACTGCCGACTCCTCTGTGTTGAGTAGCAAGGCTGAAGGGAGGGCCATGCTGATTTTGTCTTTTAAATCAGCAAAAAGCCTGAGAACATCTGACAAGACAGCATCCTCTCCTTCAATCTGATCAATGGCAGATGCGATCGGTGAGAGTAGTGTAAGATTGCGAACCACTCTCTCCCAAAACACATCATCAAGCAGTATTTTCCTGATGGAGATTTCAATATCCACAGACTGCGATCTTGCCATTTCTTGCAAAGACTCCTTGTGCTTCAGAAGGCTGTTGTACATGGTGACAACCCCAGCCCATCCAGTGTTGCAGGGCAGCTTCAGTGTGGAGTTACTTTTCTTTGTATTTTTCTTGCTGTAGGTTGCTGCCATTTCCTCTTTGCTCCTGACATCCTGTACAACTTGCTTGGCTGTCTTGTATAGCGTTTCCATCGTTTGCAAACTCATGATGTCCTTGATGAGTAGGTTAAGCCCATGAGCCGTGCACCCAATAGGTGTAATGTGAGGGTAGGCCTCCTCCACTTGTGCCCAGGCAGCCTTCATGTTTGCGGCACTATCAGTAACAACAGCAAACACCTTCTGTGGTCCAATGTCATTGATTACAGCTTTCAGCTCATCAGCAATGTACGTGCTCGTGTGTGTGTTGTCCTTTTTGTCTGTTGTCTTGAAAACCAATGGTAGAGGAGTAGAGACTATGTAGTTTATGATGCCATAACCTTGCACATTTGACCACCCTTCGGAGATAACAGCAACACTGTCTGCCTTCTCTATTGTTTCCTTCACCTTTCCTTGCACTCTGTTGAACTCAGCTTCCAGTAAATGAGTAGACAGAGCATCTCTGTTGGGAGGAGAGTATCCAGGGCAAATAACATTGAAACATCTCTTCCAGTACACATTCTCACTGAGCATGAGGGGTGAGCCTGTGGCATATACAGCTCGAGCCAGGCACTCATCGGCATTCTTCTGGCTATGGTCTTCCATTGTATGGCAGAACAATGGTTCTTGTGAGCTTTGATATAATGTTGCGTTTTTGCATTTGGTTAAATGCACCTGCAACTTTGTGGCATTCTTTACATACTGCTTTGTACAGTAGTTGCACATGTACATAGTCTTCCCATCGTCATTAATGGCTGGGGTGAAATGCTTCCACACATCTGATACTAAACGTGGCATTTTTCCACCTATAGAAATAAAGTGGAAATGTTTAAATCAGCCTACACATAACAGCATGAAATGTTAAAGGTAGCCTACAGTATGCACTGGGAAATGAATCAAGCAATAAGTCGGAAGTATGATTAGCCTATTGTGCTTGAAATGTTTTTATATATATGTTTTTAGCCTGTGTGGAAATAGCTAAATGTGTAGCTATTTCAAGAACAATATGATCAATCAAAACCATAATCAACTTACCTTACTAGGGAGTATATCGTTAACAATAGTCTCCTGTCCTGACGTAGCAAATATAATATATATATATATTGCTGAAGTATAAAGAATTGTTACTTTCAAAAAGTGTTTCTCCACATTAAAAATACAGGAGTTCTTTTAAAAATCCCAACATTACAAACAGTCCGTCGAAATTTTTCATGGAAATTTACCGGAAATGTACCTTTTTGCCACCAGCTGCTATACAAGCTAGTACATAAAGCTAGATAATGTTTGCTAGGCAACTTTATCCATGATAATATAATAATAACACGTCAACGAAAATACGTTTATCTACTGACCTATTTGTATTCATCCACAACTCAGTGATGAATCAGAAAGGAATATGAAACGCATAACTTTTTATTTTCGTTGCTGCAACCCGGAAGTACTTCTGTTACACATGGGTTTCCGTTTGCAGTTGTTTGAAGAAGCATGAGAGTGCAGTGAACAAGCCATGAACTGACTGAGCTTTTAAACAGCAAAACACCGGTAGGTTTCACCAAACAACCTTTTATTAAAAGGAATGCTGATAGATGTTGCCAGATGCTTGATAGTTGATGTTGCCAGATGTTTTGACACAAGAGTATCTTCAGCCAAGTAGGTAGCTAGCCATAATAGCAGATATTTGAAATGTGCTTGCTGAGAAAAGATTTCAGTCAAGCTGTGAGAATAGAGTTAATGTGTTTCTAGTGATTTGGCCTACAGTAACCCCGTGGTGAATTGCGCTATTTGTGTATGTTGTTTCTATCCAGGTACATTCCTGCTTCTTGTAGTCACTGGGAACATCGAAGTGCATTATTTATCTGGCAGCCTACAGTACCATGTCCTCACAAAACAGTAGTGAGGGGCAGCAGTGCCCCCTGGCGGTGGGTGTGGAAACAAGCAGCCAGTCTGCCGGGGATGGGGAGACAGCCTGTGAGGTCATCACTGTCACCATAGGAGCAACAGTCCCCACAGGGTTTGAAAACACTGCTGCAGAGGAAGTCCAGGAGAAAATTGGGGCTGATGTAACAATAAGCAAGGACCGCGGTCGAATATACTTCCAAATAACCACAGATAAGCTCTCACAGGTAAGATGCCATTGGCTTTGCCGACAGATGGGTTTCACACACTCCACTGTAAAATATCCCATGTCATGGTTGATTCACAGGTCATTGGGATATGATGGCATTCCCAGTAAGTCTCTCTGTCAGATTTGACATGAAAACTTAAGCCACTTAACTGAGATTCACAATAGCTTTGAAAACATCTGCCAAACCATTATGTTACCATAGGAGAATATAATAGGTGTAGATGTAACATAACCATTTCCTACTTGGGTTCCCAAGAAAAGGGCTTTGCCACCCAAAACAATATCATTGTGATTTTAATTATTCATGGTTAATATAGAGTACCACAGTATGAGTCATAATACCCATAAAACCTAGCGGTCAAACAAGGAAATGGTTCCCATAGTTTTTCCACCATTCATTTTTCCCCATAGGGGACTTTAGAAACACTTAAAATAAGGGCTGTGTTTTGTGTAGGCTTACCCTGGTGTGACGTGTTGATAACCGTGTAAATCTCTCTAGGACAAGGTGACTTTTGTCAAAGCAACAAAGTCATTTCTGAAGATGATTATTTATTTCACGAGATTAATAAATATGTTTTAAGGTCAACCCTTTTACGTGAACTGAACTATTCCCTTTTTAAATTACTTTTTCAAAAGAAACATGCAGGTGAGCTGCTTCTGCTGGTTATGTTCTTTTTGGCCATTTTGTGGTGGAAAACTGAGTGGTTCGAGCATAACTCGTCAACCCTGTTACCCATAGATAGATAGGCTAGAAACAAAAAAAAATGTGAAGCTTGCATTCAATTGCCCCTCCCTGGTGCACAGGGGGAGTTATGATTTATGATAACTTCAACCCTGTTATGGCAACTCTGTTACTTTAATTGGCACTAAATGTAATTTCTTAATTTAACCTCTTGAGATAGGAAAACATGTTTTATATTAAGTTGAACATGTGCACTTTATGACAGAATGTTAAAATTAGGTGAAATAATTAGTTTTCTTTTACCAAATTACACTGCCCAAAAAGCACTCTATCGATGGAATGACCCAGCCTACATTTACTATTACTGTAACTGCAGAATTAGTCAATATCCTTTCATCTTTTTTGGGGGGCTACTTTAATATGACTATCACAAGAGTTTTGTGATTGTGATGAAATACAGATTTTATTTAAGCCTATTTTAAATGCTTGGTAAAAAGCCTCTTATTCTTTAATGTGGGCATCAAACCTTTGATGAATTTTGCACACATTCACAATAGTTTGTTCACCTGGCTGTGACAGTACCATTGAGTAAATTCAAATATAGCCTAGCTTTTTTTACCTGTGCCTCTTTCTAGGTCCATCATCTGAGGTCTGTAGACAACCTGTTTGTTGTGGTTGAAGAGTATGACAACTATCAGTTTAAAGACTCAAAGGTATGTCTCTTTTCATTACAGCACAGCCAACCTGAATTCATACAGCCCTACACGTTCATTCCAATTATAACATTCACGTTGGTAATAAAAGACAGGTCCCCTACACTTTATACCATGCTTCTCCCTCTTAGGGTATTTGATAAAAACACTACCCATTCTGTCCAACAGGAGGGGACATTGGAGGACTTGCAGAAGCTGGCCTCCAAGCTGCCATGGACCAACGCACTGAAGGTCTGGAAACTGAACACCTCTCTGAAGAAGAAGAGGGGACCCCATAGACGGCCCCAAGGTCCCAAGGGGAAGGGAAGGAGAGGCAGAGATTTCAGAGATAGAGGCAAAGCCAACAAAGATGTTGTGGAGACAGACACCGTGGAGACTGTCACTGCAGAAACAGATAAGCTGCTGCTGGAGCCTCAGGCACCTACTGCAGGCCAGGGGGGTGGGGTGGGGGAGGCCGGGTCACCTGACCTGGAGAACAGCCCCCTGGGTGAGCAGCAGGAGGTGGAGGGGCAGGAGCCCGGGCCAAAGTTGCTGAAGTTCCGTGTGACGTGCAGCCGAGCAGGAGACAAACACAGCTTCTCCTCCAACGAGGCCGCCAGGGACTTTGGTGGCGCCGTGCAAGACTTCTTCCAGTGGAAAGCAGACATGACCAAGTTTGATATCGAGGTAAAAATATCATAACATTGCATCCTGTTCCAACAGGACTGGTACCCACTGAATTCCTATGCCCGCCCTAGACAGGCTTGTCAAGATAAGCCTGCGAGACACAACTAAATTGATTATGTTACAAAGAGGGAAGGAATAACAGTTCTGAGACTAAATATTTTCCCTCTAAATAAATAGGTGGGGTCACATAATGTGATGTGAAATTAAACAAGTGTGTTTCCATTATGATTACACCATGTGTGTGTTGCCAGGTCCTGCTGAACATACATAACGTTGAGGTGGTGATTGGCATTGCCCTGACAGAGGAGAGTCTCCACAGGAGAAACATTACTCACTTTGGACCCACCACGCTGCGCTCCACCCTGTGCTATGGCATGCTCAGGTCTCCTACTCTCCCTCCATTCACACTCAGTACAGTCAAGCTAAACGGAAAGCTCTCTGTACCTCATGCCTGCACTTTGATAATGCATGGGTGTAATACGGATTGTGATAAAATAACCCCATTCTGTGATTTCTTGATGCAACCTATTTTGATTTACACATGACACAACACATACAGTAGCGTAGTGCTTCATGTAAAGTATGTTGCCTCTAACTGATTAAAATTTGTGAAAATCAATATTTGGCACACTGATAACTGATATTTGTGTGTCTCTTTCATTGGACAGACTCTCTAAGCCTCAGGCGTCTGATGTTATACTTGATCCCATGTGTGGAACTGGAGCAATACCTTTAGAGGTAAGAAGGAGAATCACAATATACTGTTATTAAAAAGAGAAAATATGACTACGGTAACTGACTATGCCTTCCATGGTGGCAGGTAGCTTAGTGGTTAAGAGCGTTGGGCCAGTAATCGAAAGGTTGCTGGTTCGAATCCCTGAGCCGACTAGGTGAAAAATCTGTCTATGTGCCCTTGAGCAAGGCACTTAACCCTAATTGCTCCTGTAAGTCGCTCTGGATAAGAGCTTCTGCTAAATGACTAAAATGTAAAATCTAATGAAGTAGTAATCAGATGGTATAGCCTACTGAGTAGTTGATTGTCTCTATCAGGGAGCCATTGAATGGCAGCAGGCGTTCTACCTGGCCGGAGACAACAATGACATGGCAGTGAGCCGCACAGTCAATAACATCTGTCACATCCAGAAGAAGAGACTAGACAAGGGCAGGTGAGACACAACAAATCAAACCATACATAAGTGACTTTATGAGAATTAGAAGACATCGTTTCAATTTTGGATCGTGCAAGACAAAGTGATGAGACCCATTTGATCGTTAGTTGTGTTTACTCTATATACTCCCCAACCCTGCAGTGCGCCAGGGCTGCCCATGGACACAGTGCAGTGGGACCTGTGCCATCTACCCATGAGAACCAGCTCAGTGGACATCATCATCACTGACATGCCCTTTGGGAAGAGGTAGGTACCACAGTACAGTTTCTATTAGGACCAACACTCAAAATTGACTAAACCGCCCAGATATGGCTCATTTCTGTATGGAATGTATTGGTATTGTTTACGTGGCTGAGGTGTACATTGTGTGGTTTTCTTATAGAATGGGCTCCAGGAAGAAGAACTGGGACCTGTACCCGCCCTGTCTGAGAGAGATGGCCCGGGTGTCCAGACCAGGCTCAGGGAAGGCTGTCATCCTGACCCAGGATAAGAAATGCTTTCAAAAGGTAATGTACCACACATACAGTAAGACTGTGTAATCCGTGGTGGATGGAGTGGGGTGTACAGACGTGTCCTAACCTGTCTGTACCTGAAGGCTAGGTCATCAACGGGAAATTCCAGGATAACCAGAGAATGAGTAGTTGAGGATGTTGTGGTGTCTTATTAAATGTAATTAATCCACACCAATATTATCTGTGTGAACAAATCTCTATTGTTAGTGTATAGTATGGACTGAATCTACTCTGTTTCTAGTATAGGTGGTCCCTTGGCCAGATGGCATTTCTCCAAGCAATACTGTGGTGTGTCAACATTAATGAGTTGTGCCATGAGTGTCTTGTGACCGGATATTTGTTCCCTCAGGCCATATCGAGGATGGGAGGACTCTGGCGGAAGCACCACACGGTCTGGGTCAACGTAGGGGGCCTACACGCAGGGGTGTTCCTCCTCAAGCGCACAGCAGGGATCTTTGGCCAAACCCCAGAAGATGTCCGGGAACCACTAGAAGAGCAACCAGGGAAGGAAAAACCAGCAGAAGGAAAGGAGGATAAGTGACAGAGTTAAGCCCGACCTATACAGAAGTATACTTTAGAAATGGCATAGAAATAACTTTTTGCCATTATATATTTGATTAACCTATTTTGCTGGGTTTTTTGTTGAAGGTCCAAAAGTGAGTATGTCTCATAGGAAAACCTTTCCTAAGTTTTACTGTATTGTTATTGACAGACGAGGTTTGGGTTAAGTGAAAGAAAAGTTGTCTGCCTGCTTATTACAACCAGTTTCCTATTCATGTTAAACTCCAGCTTTATAAAAAGTTGTCTTGCTACGCCTGAGTGCCAGTTATATAAATACAAGTCATTAATCATCCATGGTTCTTTTAGCTACGGTAGGTAAGCAAAACTTGATTTATACCCCCATTGTGTTGTTGAGGGAATCAGTTCAAATGACCACACCTCTCCACCTCTCCGTTCTGTACGATGACTCTTTATGGTAAATAAAACTTGTTTCCAAACATGCGTTAAAGGGCGACTGCACTTTGTAATTTGGCCTCATTTATATTTGTTTCATTAAGAAATGCTAGCGGCCATGACTGAAGTCAAATGTCAGTTGTTTTTGGGTTGTGGTTTGATGTGGGTGTCTCTTGTGTGTTCGCAAGTGGGAAGAGTTAGTCCAAAGAGTTTCCCCTTTAATGTTGATGTAATGGACTTTTTTTATGACACAGACTGCACACACTCATTCATCACCCAGCTGCATAAACAATGACAACAGTGTCTCATCATTACATCAGAGGGGTATACAAAGCAGCTAACTTGCCTAAATATTCTGAAATAACTTTCAATTTTTTTTAAAGATAAGCTTGAAATTGGAAATTGGTCTAATTGACTCAACAATCAAAAACACAGAACTTTAGCTATCTTGTTGAATCAGAAAATCAACAGTTATTTCTGAATGTTTATCGAAGTTAGCTGGCTAACACATTGATCCTGCTTTGTAGTATACCCCTCTGGTATGTCTGCTGCTGTTGCAAAACAGATGCATCATTGATAGTGTGACATCAGTCTACCTCATTTTAAGTTTGGGAGTTTCACACATCACCATGATTGTGTCACATAAAATTGACTATGTTCTCATGCAAGTTTTGTCTAAATATGACAGACTAGGAACATTTCATCTTATTTGATTGAAATTTCAGTTTAATAATGTTGGCTTGAATAACATGTTAGTAAACAGTGTAATTTATTGAGGCTATCCATGATGACACTTCATCAGTGGAATGTATTTATTTTATTAAGCCTAATCTGATTACAATCAAATGTGGGTTTGTTGGTTTGTTTTGTTCAGGCATAGATCTATCTGAAAATAGATATAGTCGTAGTCCTACTAGTGATGGGAAGTTCCGCTCTTTTTACTGACTGATCTTTTCGACTCGTTCAGTCAAAATAACTAATCTTTCGACTCAGTTTGTTCATTTGAGTCAGTAATGGCCAAAGCACGCAGGACCCCCTACCGGCGAACGATGAACTGAAAACTCGAAAGAGTCATGATTCTACAAGCCTCTCATTCTCATGTCATTCACCATAGGGCAGGGTTCCCCAACTGGCAGCCCGTGGGCTAACGCGGGTGGTTTTATTTGGCCATCCAAGTTTTCTGAGCAAAAAAAAACATTTTATTTTTATTTTCAATGTTGGACATAGAAGACTGTAAAAACACCAGTCATTTTAATTTTGGAAATATGTTCCCAAGTATTCCCACACATAATAGAGGGACACGTCATTGTAAGCAAGTTTTGAAATGATGTTTTTGTAAAATATTATATCTGTTTGTAATTCCTGCGGTCAAATTGCAGTCTACAAATGATTTGTAATTATGTTCTGGCCCCCCGACCATCCGCTCATGAAAAAATCGGCCCTGCCATAGGGGGCTTTTTGGAGCTGTCATTTGTGACTGAGACTTGTAACTGTGTGCTTTAAACAATGTACATTTGTGATTGCTAGGCATACAAATAAGATTATTTCTTGGTACATTTGAAACAAGGTCTAGTTGTGGCTGCAACCGAACTAGATTGTGAACTACCCTTGGCGGAATAATAAGTTGCCCGATGACTCTTCTGCTGCTCTGTCCTTCGCTACATATACTCCTCATTCCGGAGAAGAAACTAATGTCCGTGGGCGTGGCGTTTTGTCTGGAGCAAGTAGTCTGGGTAGCCAGGCAAGGTGGTAAGCACAGTCGTTTGCGAGCTGCAGCACCCCAAGCAATTCGTTTTCGAGTTTGAGTTTGTTGAGTAAAGGCTGTGTATTAAAGGATCTGCATGGTCAATCCCTCATCTGCAGTGGCCAGTATTTACTGCGGTACGGCCTCACCAGAAGTCAGGGCATTATATATATTTTTTCTCACCTTTATTTAACCAGGTAAGCCAGTTGAGAACAAGTTCTCATTTACAACTGCGACCTGGCCAAGATAAAGAAAAGCAGTGCGATAAAAACAACAACACAGAGTTACATATGGGGTAAAACAAAACATAAAGTCAAAAATACAACAGAAAATATATATATACAATGTGTGCAAATGTAGCAAGTTATGGAGGTAAGGCAATAAACAGGCTATAGTGCAAAATAATTACAATTAGTATTAACACTGGAATGATAGATGTGCAAATAGAGATACTGGGGTGCAAATGAGCAAAAATAAATAACAATATAGGGATGAGGTAGTTGGGTGGGCTAATTTCAGATGGGCTGTGTACAGGTGCAGTGATCGGTAAGGTGCTCTGACAACTGATGCTTAAAGTTAGTGAGGGAGATAAGAGTCTCCAGCTCCAGATTTGTGCAATTCGTTCCAGTCATTGGCAGCAGAGAACTGGAAGGAATGGCGGCCAAAGGAGGTGTTGGCTTTGGGGATGACCAGTGAGATATACCTGCTGGAGCGCATACGGGTGGGTGTTGCTATGGTGACCAATGAGCTAAAATAAGGCAGGGATTTGCCTAGCAGTGATTTATAGATGGCCTGGAGCCAGTGGGTTTGGCGACGAATATGTAGTGAGGACCAGTCAACAAGAGCGTACAGGTCACAGTGGTGTGTAGTGTATGGGGCTTTGGAGACAAAACGGATGGCACTGTGATAGAATACATCCAATTTGCTGAGTAGAGTGTTGGAGGCTATTTTGTAAATGACATCGCCGAAGTCAAGGATCGGTAGGATAGTCAGTTTTACGAGGGCATGTTTGGCAGCATGAGTGAAGGAGGCTTTGTTGCGAAATAGGAAGCCAATTCTAGATTTAACTTTGGATTGGAGATTCTTAATACTCATTGTGCTTCACAGAGCGGATGACACACAGCTGTACATTTCAATGAAGCATGGTGAAGCCCCAAAATTGCCCTCGCTAGAAGCCTGTGTTTCAGACATAAGGAAGTGGATGGCTGAAAACTTTTTACTTTTAAACTCGGACAAAACAGAGATGCTTGTTCTAGGTCCCAAGAAACAAAGAGATCTTCTGTTAAATCTGACAATTCATCTTGATGGTTGTAAAGTCGTCTCAAATAAAACTGTGAAGGACCTAGGCGTTACTCTTGACCCTGATCTCTCTTTTGACGAACATATCAAGACTGTTTCAAGGACAGCTTTTTTCCATCTACGTAACATTGCAAAAATCAGAAATTTTCTGTCCAAAAATGATGCAGAAAAATTAATCCATGCATTTGTTACTTCTAGATTAGACTACTGCAATGCTCTATTTTCCGGCTACCCGGATAAAGCACTAAATAAACTTCAGTTAGTGCTAAATACGGCTGCTAGAATCCTGACTAGAACCAAGAAATTTGATCATATTACTCCAGTGCTAGCTTCCCTACACTGGCTTCCTGTTAAGGCAAGGGCTGATTTCAAGGTTTTACTGTTAACCTATAAAGCGTTACATGGGCTTGCTCCTACCTATCTTTCCGAGTTGGTCCTGCCGTACATACCAATACGTACGCTACGGTCACAAGACGCAGGCCTCCTAATTGTCCCTAGAATTTCTAAGCAAACAGCGGGAGGCAGGGCTTTCTCCTATAGATCTCCATTTTTATGGAACAGTCTGCCTACCCATGTGAGAGACGCAGACTCGGTCTCAACCTTTAAGTCTTTACTGAAGACTTATCTCTTCAGTAGGTCATATGATTGAGTGTAGTCTGGCCCAGGAGTGTGAAGGTGAACGGAAAGGCTGGAGCAACGAACAGCCCTTGCTGTCTCTGCCAGGCCGGTTCCCCTCTCCACTGGGGTTCTCTGCCTCTAACCCTGTTGCAGGGGCTGAGTCACTGGCCTGCTGGTGCTCTTTCATGCCGTCCCTGGGAGGGGTGCGTCACTTGAGTGGGTTGAGTTACTGACGTGATCTTCCTGTCTGGGTTGGCGCCCCCCCCCCCCCTTGGTTTGTGCTGTGGTGGAGACCTCTGTGGGCTATACTCGGCCTTGTCTCAGGATTGTAAGTTGGTGGTTGGGGATATCCCTCTAGTGGTGCGGGGGCTGTGCTTTGGCGGAGTGGGTGGGGTTATATCCTTCCTGTTTGGCCCTGTCCGGGGGTTTCTTCGGATGGGGCCACAGTGTCTCCGGACCGCTCCTGTCTCAGCCTCCAGTATTTATGCTGCAGTAGTTTATGTGTCGGGGGGCTGGGGTTAGTTGGTTATACCTGGAGTACTTCTCCTGTCTTATCCAGTGTCCTGTGTGAATTTAAGTATGCTCTCTCTAATTCTCTCGTTCTCTCTTTCTCTCTGAGAACCTGAGCCCTAGGACCATACGTCAGGACTACCGGGCATGATGACACCCTGCTGCCCCCAGTCCGCCTGGCCTTGCTGCTATTCCAGTTTCAACTGTTCTGCCTACGGCTACGAAACCCCTACCTGTCCCAGACCTGCTGTTTTCAACTCTAAATGATCGGCTATGAAAAGCCAACTGAGAGACCTGAGCCCTAGGACCATACGTCGGGACTACCGGCCGTGGTGACTCCTTGCTATCCCCAGTCCGCCTGGCCTTGCTGCTATTCCAGTTTAAACTGTTCTGCCTGCGGTTATGGAACCCCTACCTGTCCCAGACCTGCTGTTTTTAAACTCTAATGATCGGCTATGAAAAGCCAACTGAGATTTATTCCTGATTATTATTTGACCATGCTTGTCACTTATGAACATTTTTGAACATCTTGGCATGGTTCTGTTATAATCTCCACCCGGCACAGCCAGAAGAGGACTGGCCACCCCTCATAGCCTGGTTCCTCTCTAGGTTTCTTCCTAGGTTTTGCCTTTCTAGGGAGTTTTTCCTAGCCACCGTGCTTCTACACCTGCATTACTAGCTGTTTGGGGTTTTAGGCTGGGTTTCTGTACAGCACTTCGAGATATTAGCTGATGTAAGAAGGGCTATATAAAATAAAATTGATTGATTGATTGATTGGAAGTGGTCAAGGAAGTGAGATGGTGTTTATACAGGACCTCCCGCCCCCACCTACTGTCAACCAATCATGTCAATGCGGAGCTATACAGAGCCCTCATTGTTACAAGATTTTGGAGGCACACGGTGATGTGGTACAGTGCTCAATTTGGCCTCTGCGTGCCACCGGAGTCTTCGCAATTGCGTCACACCCTCCATACGGAGCCTCTGACCACATTTTCAGATCAAGCATAAATTGGCTTTTAATCAGGGCTTTTATAGTTATTGCGCTTCACTGAGCAGAGCAGAGCTGTTGTGACAGAAGTTGTCAAGGAAGTGAGTTTGTGTCAACCAATTATGTCAATGCGGAGCTATACAGAGACATCCCCATTGTCTGCGATGCGGTACGGAGCTCAATTTGGCCTCTGTATGCCTCCGGAGGTTCTGCAATTGTGTCACATTGTGTCCATACGGCTCCTCCAACCACATTTGGGATCAAGCATCAATTGGCTTTGAAATGGAGCCATGACTCAGCTAGTAAAAATAGTCATTAAAAAATCTTAAGTGAACTGCACATCACTAAAAGGCTCTGCATGGTTAATCTGACTTCTTCAGCGACCATACAGCATTTACTGCATGCGGCCTCTGCAGAAGTCAGAGCAAACATACTTTTAGGCTTTGCAGAGCTGTTGTCAAGGAAGTGAGTTTGTGTTTATATAGGACATCCAGCCCCCACCTACTGTCAACCAATCATCTCAATGCTGAGCTACAGTGGGGAGAACAAGTATTTGATACACTGCAGATTTTGCAGGTTTTCCTACTTACAAAGCATGTAGAGGTCTGTAATTTTTATCATAGGTACACTTCAACTGTGAGAGACGGAATCTAAAAAAAAAATCCAGAAAATCACATTGTATGATTTTTAAGTAATTAATTTGCATTTTATTGCATGACATAAGTATTTGATACATCAGAAAAGCAGAACTTAATATTTGGTACAGAAACCTTTGTTTGCAATTACAGAGATCATACGTTTCCTGTAGGTCTTGACCAAGTTTGCACACACTGCAGCAGGGATTTTGGCCCACTCCTCCAAATCCTTCAGGTTTCGGGGCTGTCGCTGGGCAATACGGACTTTCAGCTCCCTCCAAAGATTTTCTATTGGGTTCAGGTCTGGAGACTGGCTAGGCCACTCCAGGACCTTGAGATGCTTCTTACGGAGCCACACCTTAGTTGCCCTGGCTGTGTGTTTCGGGTTGTGGTCATGCTGGAAGACCCAGCCACGACCCATCTTCAAATCTTCAATGCTCTTACTGAGGGAAGGAGGTTGTTGGACAAGATCTCGCGATACATGGTCCCATCCATCCTCCCCTCAATACGGTGCAGTCGTCCTGTCCCCTTTGCAGAAAAGCATCCCCAAAGAATGATGTTTCCACCTCCATGCTTCACGGTTGGGATGGTGTTCTTGGGGTTGTACTCATCCTTCTTCTTCCTCCAAACACGGCGAGTGGAGTTTAGACCAAAAAGCTCTATTTTTGTCTCATCAGACCACATGACCTTCTCCCATTCCTCCTCTGGATCATCCAGATGGTCATTGGCAAACTTCAGACGGGCCTGGACATGCGCTGGCTTGAGCAGGGGGACCTTGCGTGCGCTGCAGGATTTTAATCCATGACGGCGTAGTGTGTTACTAATGGTTTTCTTTGAGACTGTGGTCCCAGCTCTCTTCAGGTCATTGACCAGGTCCTGCCATGTAGTTCTGGGCTGATCCCTCACCTTCCTCATGATCATTGATGCCCCACGAGGTGAGATCTTGCATGGAGCCCCAGACCGAGGGTGATTGACCGTCATCTTGAACTTCTTCAATTTTCTAATAATTGCACCAACAGTTGTTGCCTTCTCACCAAGCTGCTTGCCTATTGTCCTGTAGCCCATCCCAGCCTTGTGCAGGTCTACAATTTTATCCCTGATGTCCTTACACAGCTCTCTGGTCTTGGCCATTGTGGAGAGGTTGGAGTCTGTTTGATTGAGTGTGTGGACAGGTGTCTTTTATACAGGTAACGAGTTCAAACAGGTGCAGTTAATACAGGTAATGAGTGGAGAACAGGAGGGCTTCTTAAAGAAAAACTAACAGGTCTGTGAGAGCCGGAATTCTTACTGGTTGGTAGGTGATCAAATACTTATGTCATGCAATAAAATGCAAATTAATTACTTAAAAATCATACAATGTGATTTTCTGGATTTTTGTTTTAGATTCCGTCTCTCACAGTTGAAGTGTACCTATGATAAAAATTACAGACCTCTACATGCTTTGTAAGTAGGAAAACCTGCAAAAGCGGCAGTGTATCAAATACTTGTTCTCCCCACTGTATATGGAGCCCTCCGCATTGTAACAAAATTTGAGAGGCGCACAGCAATACGGTACAGAGCTTGATTTGGCCTCTGCATGCCTCCAGAGGCTATGCAATTGCGTCACACCCTCCATACGAAGCCTCTGTCCACATTTTCGGATCAAGCATAAATTGGCTTTTAAGGAAATATACAGGGTGACGTCGGGAACACCCTGAAACGCTGTCATCGGATGACATAAAACAGCACTATATCAGGTGGACCCTGTAATCATCCATTATTCATACGTTTTCACTGCTGCGCACCAACGTGCAGGTACGTCTGTCAAGACAACGAGCTATGATTTGGACGATACTTTTGATTGTCCAGGGCATCCTTCTCTTATTCATACTTGTTTTGAAACGCTCCAGGTGAGTACACTTTTCTAAAATTAGTGTTTTATTCGAGTTAATTCCTACGCTTTTAATGCATACATTGAACATAGCATGCATGCTTTCTGTATAATACTGTATTGTAGCCTTTTCAAACTTGTTTTCACCTGTGCACATATTTGCGTAGCCTACTTATTAATATATGTATTGCCTACCCAGCATAAACTAACCCAGCATAAAGTTGTATTTACCATAAACCTAAAATAATCTAAATAGATCTTGATAATATCATAGTTGTATTGAGCGATATATAAATGAGCTGTCGCCTGTCAATCATTTTTGAGAGGCACAATTTAGATAATTCTGAGTTTAACCAAAAACCAAGGGATTTACTATAAGAACTAAACAACATTACTTAATCTGTTAGTTTAGTGGCCTGTTCTATAACCATTTACCCTCCCACTCAACGCTGTGTTTGGAATGTGGTTAAACAGCCAGACTTCTAAACTTCTGTCGATTTAAGGACTATTTCCACTGGCCAGTTAAATGTAAACTTGCGTGTCTCAAAGATCTTGTGTCAAAGGTTTATGAAGGCACATCTGTTTTCATCCTTGTTGCTGTATCCTTGGTTGTGAAGAATTGATGGGCTCTTTCTATTCTAAATGTTATTGGGAGAGCTTTAAAACTTCCTGGAAAAGCTGTATATATTTTACTCACAGCTGTGTCACACAATGTACTGATATGAGCCAAGCATGTAAATATTGAATCAATTGATTTTCGGTACAGTTACTATATTAAAAGACAAAATATGTGCAATCAGTAATTTTGGTATGAACAAATATAGGTGTGAATATTAGCTTTTCAAAATTAATTGCATTCTGTTCTTTTCTATACAGGTCAGAGAAAGAGCCACCTTTAGACAAAGGAGTTATTCCATGGTTAGGCCATGCCCTTGAGTTTGGAAGAGATGCTGCCATGTTCCTAACCCGTATGAAGGTGAAGCATGGCGATATCTTCACGGTAAGAATGGCAATATCCTCCTGAGACCCAGCAATAATTTTTTGTCCTCTAGTGGACACCAGTTCTTGGTCCATATCTCTAAGGCCATACAAACCACAGTATTAAGTCCTTTGAGAGGACATTCTGGGCTTTTCAATGATATCACGTGTGAGGGTGTGACCTTGACAACTTTATCTTCCAGGTTCTTTAAAAAAATGAAATTTGAAAAGAAATGTGTAATTATTAATGATTATTTTTGCGAGTTTGATATTCAAATTGTTTTCTAGTAAGTGAATATCTCAGGAATAGTTAAGTGAGTTGTCAGGACTGTGTAATATATTTTTTTGACATTTAAATAAGAGCTAAATAAGAGCTTATCAAGAAATGTCCTCTGTAGTGGACAACCGGATGCCGCAACTATATAAAATAAATAACAATATAAAAAATAATCTTGGTAGCATGTTTTCTTTTCACCCCAAACACTTTTTTTCGGGTCTCAGGAGGATATAAACACTATCCTCAATATCATCTACAGTGAGGGAAAAAAGTATTTGATCCCCTGCTGATTTTGTACGTTTGCCCACTGACAAAGAAATGATCAGTCTATAATTTTAATGGTAGGTTTACTTGAACAGTGAGAGACAGAATAACAACAAAAAAATCCTGAAAAACGCATGTCAAAAATGTTATATTGATTTGCATTTTAATGAAGGAAATAAGTATTTGACCCCTCTGCAAAACCCTTGTTGACAATCACAGAGGTCAGATGTTTCTAGTAGTTGGCCACCAGGTTTGCAGACATCTCAGGAGGGATTTTGTCCCACTCCTCTTTGCAGATCTTCTCCAAGTCATTAAGGTTTCGAGGCTGACGTTTGGCAACTCTAACCTTCAGCTCCCTCCACAGATTTTCTATGGGATTAAGGTCTGGTGACTGGCTAGGCCACTCCAGGACCTTAATGTGCTTCTTCTTGAACCACTCCTTTGTTGCCTTGGCCGTGTGTTTTGGGTCATTGTCATGCTGGAATACCCATCCACAACCCATTTTCAATGCCCTGGCTGAGGGAAGGAGGTTCTCACCCAAGATTTGACGGTAGATGGCCCCGTCCATCGTTGTCCTGTCTCCTTAGCAGAAAAACACCCCCAAAGCATAATGTTTCCACCTCCATGTTTGACGGTGAGGATGGTGTTCTTGGGGTCATAGGCAGCATTCCTCCTCCTCCAAACACGGCGAGTTGTGTTGATGCCAAAGACCTTGATTTTGGTCTCATCTGACCACAACACTTTCACCCAGTTATCCTCTGAATCATTCAGATGTTCATTGGCAAACTTCAGATGGGCCTGTATATGTGCTTTCTTGAGCAGGGGGACCTTGCGGGCGCTGCAGGATTTCAGTCCTTCATGGCGTAGTGTGTTACCAATTGTTTTCTTGGTGATTATGGTCCCAGCTGCCTTGAGATCATTGACAAGATCCTCCCGTGTAGTTCTGGGCTGATTCCTCACCGTTCTCATGATCATTGCAACTCCACGAGGTGAGATTTTGCATGGAGCCCCAGGCAGAGGGAGATTGACAGTTATTTTGTGTTTCTTCCATTTTCGAATAATCGCACCAACTGTTGTCACCTTCTCACCAAGCTGCTTGGCGATGGTCTTGTAGCCCATTCCAGCCTTGTGTAGGTCTACAATCTTGTCCCTGACATCCTTGGAGAGCTCTTTGGTCTTGGCCATGGTGGAGAGTTTGGAATCTGATTGATTGCTTCTGTCGACAGGTGTCTTTTATACAGGTAACAAGCTAAGATTAGGAGCACTCCCTTTAAGAGTGTCAAATACTTATTTCCCTCATTAAAATGCAAATCAATTTGTAAAATTTTTTACATGCGTTTTTCTGGATTTTTTTGTTGTTATTCTGTCTCTCACTGTTCAAATAAACCTACCATTAAAATTATAGACTGATCATTTCTTTGTCAGTGGGCAAACATACAAAATCAGCAGGGGATCAAATACTTTTTTCCCTCACTGTATGTAAATGTACCTTAACCTGATCATCTTTACCTGCCTGTTCTTGCCTTAATTCTCGAATACATCTACAGTGGATTCAATTCTTCACCATTCAGGGTGAGTGTTGGTGTGTCATCCTGATTAATTCTGTGTATTTCTCTCTCTCTGTGTGTGTGTGTGTGTGTGTGTAGGTGCGTGTGGCTGGACGTTATGTGACAGTGCTGCTGGACCCCAGCTCTTATGATGCTGTGATAGAGGACTCTGTGTCACTTGACTTCACACGCTACGCGCAGGTTCTCATGGACAGGATCTTTAGCCTGCGGCTCCCCCATCACAACCCTGCTGTAGAGAAGGCCATGATGAAACAGTACGTCCCTATCCTTATCCCTATTACAGTGTCACACACTCTTTTATGTGGGCCAGCCCAAAAACAGCTCTACATGCCCATCGATACGGTCAGAGAGTTACAAATTACTTTTTTTTTTTAAGACAATTGAGGACAGCATTATCCAGCCAATAACTGGATCCTTACACAGGCATAATACACAACTCTGTGTGATGTTGCTGCCTGGCTCCACCGTAGTCTAAATCAACATGTTTCCCTCCCTGAGACAGAGAGGTGTCTGGGACCAGGGATTACTACATCGACCATCACAGATATCCCTACCATCTGCATAAGATGGTGAGCAAGATCGCGCTGACAGACATGGTCACTGTGTTCCTAGCTCCTAGACAACTTTTCTTGTTGGGTATTATTGCGCTGTTGGAGCTAGGAACATAAGCATTTCGCTACACCCGTGATAACATCTGCAAAATATGTGTATGCCAGGTGGAGGCTCCTCAGAGGAGGAAGGGGAGGACCATCTGCCTCAGTGAAATATTAAAAGTTATCCTTTTTAAAAAAAATGATACTAAATATATTCACGTCACCAAATTAAAAGGACATTTCTAAAACACAATGTTTTGCAATGAAGGTCTACAGTAGCCTCAGCAGCACTCTGTAGGGTATCATCATGGTGTAGCCGGAGGACAGCTAGCTTCTGTCCTTCTCTGGGTACATTGACTTCAATAAAAAACCTAGGAGGTTCATGGTTCTCACCCCCTTCCATAGACTTACACAGTAATTATGACAACTTCCGGAGGACGTCCTCCAACCTATCAGAGCTCTTGCGGCATGAACTGACATGTTATCCACCCAGCTACAGCTAACTAGCACTGCAGTGCATAAAATGTGGTGAGTAGTTGACTCAAAGAGAGATAAAGACAATAGTTGAAAAGTTTTGAACAAATGAATTTCTTCCGAGAGCGAGAGAGAGAGAGAGCGCTAGCTAGCTATATTTGGTTGTATTTTTTTTTTTACTTTCACTTATCTAGCGAATGCAGCTAGCTAGTTTAGCCTACTCAAACACTCGGCTCAAACAGAGAGGGATGCTATGTTAGCTAGCTCGCTTTTGGTTTGATTAATTTATTGCCACCAGGGCCCACCGGTGTAACTGCTAAACTGCTTTCTGACTTTACGCTGTAGTGCATGATTGTAGTAGGTATGTTGACTATGACGTGACAACGATGTGTGTGTAGCGGTTAGTGGTCATGATATGAAGGTTTGGCTTGGAAAGGTTTTTTCGCCTGGTCACAGACAGCCGATGTGTTGTGCACTGAAGTCCACAAGCGAAGGTAAAAGGTGAGAGGAGGAGAGCGCATAGATAGTTGTGAGAAGCAATTATATATACAATGAGCAAAGCGATCATGCTGTTTTTATGTGGCTGCTATGAAAGTTAACTGTGTTTGCGTGTGATCAGGGGTGCATTCATTCCGCCAATTCTGTTGTAATTGTTTCTTAAACGGAAGCAAACGGAACAAAACGAGGATAAATATATCTACATTTATAGTCATCTTGACTACAAAAAATTATCTTGACCTGTGCATCTACGTTGTAAACTCATTTATAGGTTGTAGCAGCCTCATGATGGGTACAGGGAACATTTGAGTACCGAAACGTATCGATGTTACATTGAGCTGGGTGAATGGAATATGAATGACAGTCATCCAATATGCTGTAATAGAAATAAGGCCATGCTGATAAAAAAGTTTGAGGAGGAGGCTTGAAGCACTGGGCATCTTGTTTTGACATGCATTATCTGAATTAGGTCCACATAATTATACATACACTACCGTTCAAAAGTTTGGGGTCACTTAGAAATGTCCTTGTTTTCGAAAGAAAGGCAATTTCTTTGTCCATTAAAATAATATCAAATTGATCAGAAATACAGTGTAGACATTGTTAATGTTGTGAATGGCTATTGTAGCTGTAAATGGCAGATTTTTTATGCAATATCTACATAGGGGTACAGAGGTCCATTATCAGCAACCATCAGTCCTGTGTTCCAATGGCACGTTGTGTTTGCTAATCCAAGTTTATCATTTTAAAAGGCTAATTGATCATTAGAAAACCCTTTTGCAACTATGTTAGCACAGCTGAAAACTGTTGTGCTGATTAAAGAAGCAATAAAACTGGCCTTCCTGAGACTAGTTGACTATCTGGAGCATCAGCAATTGTGGGTTCGATTACAGGCTCAAAATGGCCAGAAACAAATAACTTTCTTCTGAAACTCATCAGTCTATTCTTGTTCTGAGAAATTAAGGCTATTCCATGCAAGAAATTGCCAAGAAACTGAAGATGTCATACAACACTGTGTACTACTCCCTTCACAGAACAGCGCAAACTGGCTCTAACCAGAATAGAAAGAGGAGTGGGAGGCCCCGGTGCACAACTGAGCAAGAGGACATATACAATAGTGTCTAGTTTGAGAAACAGACGCCTCAGAGGTCCTCAACTGGCAGCTTCATTAAATAGTACCCACAAAACACCAGTCTCAACATCAACAGTGAAGAGGCGACTCTGGGATGCTGACCTTCTAGGCAGAGTTGCAAAGAAAAAGCCATATCTCAGACTAGCCAATAAAAAAAAGATTAAGATGGGCAAAAGAACACAGACACTGGACAGAGGAAGATTGGGAAAAAGTGTTATGGACAGACGAATCGAAGTTTGAGGTGTTCGGATCACAAAGAAAACATTTGTGAGACGCAGACCAAATGAAAAGATGCTGGAGGAGTGCTTGATGCTATCTGTCAAGCATGGTGGAGGCAATGTGATGGTCTGGGGATGCTTTGGTGGTGGTAAAGTGGGAGATTTGTACAGGGTAAAAGGGATCTTGAAGAAGGAAGGCTATCACTCCATTTTGCAATGTCATGCCATACCCTGTCGACATCGCTTAATTGGAGCCAATTTCCTCCTACAACAGGACAATGAGCCAAAGCACAGCTCCAAACTATGCAAGAACTATTTAGGGAAGAAGCAGTCAACTGGTATTCTGTCTATAATGGAGTGGCCAGCACAGTCACCGGATCTCAACCCTATTGAGCTGTTGTGGGAGCAGCTTGACCGTATGGTACAGTGAGGGAAAAAAGTATTTGATCCCCTGCTGATTTTGTACGTTTGCCCACTGACAAAGAAATGATCAGTCTATAATTTTAATGGTAGGTTTATTTGAACAGGGAGAGACAGAATAACAACAAAAAAATCCAGAAAAACGCATGTAAAAATTTTATAAATTGATTTGCATTTTAATGAGGGAAATAAGTATTTGACCCCCTCTCAATCAGAAAGATTTCTGGCTCCCAGGTGTCTTTTATACAGGTAACGAGCTGAGATTAGGAGCGTGTGCTCCTAATCTCAGCTTGTTACCTGTATAAAAGACACCTGTCCACAGAAGCAATCAATCAATCAGATTCCAAACTCTCCACCATGGCCAAGACCAAAGAGCTCTCCAAGGATGTCAAGGACAAGATTGTAGACCTACACAAGGCTGGAATGGGCTACAAGACCATCGCCGAGCAGCTTGGTGAGAAGGTGACAACAGTTGGTGCGATTATTTGCAAATGGAAGAAACACTAAATAACTGTCAATCTCCCTCTGCCTGGGGCTCCATGCAAGATCTCACCTCGTGGAGTTGCAATGATTATGAGAACGGTGAGGAATCAGCCCAGAACTACACGGGAGGATCTTGTCAATGATCTCAAGGCAGCTGGGACCATAGTCACCAAGAAAACAATTGGTAACACACTACGCCGTGAAGGACTGAAATCCTGCAGCGCCCGCAAGGTCCCCCTGCTCAAGAAAGCACATATACATGCCTGTCTGAAGTTTGCCAATGAACATCTGAATGACTCAGAGGATAACTGGGTGAAAGTGTTGTGGTCAGATGAGACCAAAATCGAGGTCTTTGGCATCAACTCAACTCGCCGTGTTTGGAGGAGGAGGAACGCTGCCTATGACCCCAAGAACACCATCCTCACCGTCAAACATGGAGGTGGAAAAATTATGCTTTGGGGGTGATTTTCTGCTAAGGGGACAGGACAACTTCACCGCATCAAAGGGACGATGGACGGGGCCATTTACCGTCAAATCTTGGGTGAGAACCTCCTTCCCTCAGTCAGGGCATTGAAAATGGGTTGTGGATGGGTATTCCAGCATGACAATGACCCAAAACACACAGCCAAGGCAACAAAGGAGTGGCTCAAGAAGAAGCACATTAAGATCCTGGAGTGGCCTAGCCAGTCTCCAGACCTTAATCCCATAGAAAATCTGTGGAGGGAGCTGAAGGTTCGAGTTGCCAAACGTCAGCCTCAAAACCTTAATGACTTGGAGAAGATCTGCAAAGAGGAGTGGGACAAAATCCCTCCTGAGATGTGTGCAAACCTGGTGGCCAACTACAAGAAACGTCTGACCTCTGTGATTGCCAACAAGGGTTTTGCCACCAAGTACTAAGTCATGTTTTGCAGAGGGGTCAAATACTTTTTTCCCTCATTAAAATGCAAATCAATTCATAACATTTCTGACATGCGTTTTTCAGGATTTTTTTGTTGTTATTCTGTCTCTCACTGTTCAAATAAACCTACCATTAAAATTATAGACTGATCATGTCTTTGTCAGTGGGCAAACGTGCAAAATCAGCAGGGGATCAAATACTTTTTTCCCTCACTGTATGTAAGAAGTGCCCATCAAGCCAATCCAACTTGTGGGAGGTGCTTCAGGAAGCATGCGGTGAAATCTCTTCAGATTACCTCAACAAATTGACAACTAGAATGCCAAAGGTCTGCAAGGCTGTAATTGCTGCAAATGGAGGATTATTTGATGAAAGCTAAGTTTGAAGGACACAATTATTATTTCTATTAAAAATCATTATTTCTAACCTTGTCAATGACTACATTTCCTATGCATTTTGCTATATTTCCTATTCAAACTAATTTCATGTGATTTCAACATTTCTAAGTGACCCCAAACTTTTGAACGGTAGTGTAGGAGGAGCGGCTTCTATGGAGGAACTTTGAAAGTCCTTTGAGCTAGCTAGCTAACAAGCTTGAGCTAGCTATCAAGCTTGTGTGCAGAGCGGCACCAGAATAAAAAATACGTCTTACCTTTTTGTAGTTTTGTAATCTTGCAGACAGATACTGGAATACGTTTCTGAGTGACAGAGGGATGACTTTGCATAGGCGTTTTGTTATGGGACTATAAAAAAATGCCTGGAACGTAAAATAACGTTATTAACCGGTTCCCATGCTTTTAAAATAACGGTTCTGTTCCGGAACTGTATGGATCACTTTTGTTCCAGGTTCCATTTCTGTTCCTTGAAAAAAAAGTCTTTATTTTCCTGTTTTCTTTTCTTTTCTGTTCCCTGAACCAGTTCCAACCCCTGGTGCATACCACACATGCACTCACCTCACACCATGCTGTTGCTGGGCACTGTTGTGGAACTACCTCAGTCTATCTCAGCCATATCGTCATTGTGTAGTGCTTTTTTTCTGGCTATACAGTGCATAGACCACTGGCTCTGTGTAGTGGATTTTGAATCCACAGTATCAGCATTTTGTACCCTGCCACACAGGTTTACTACAGACATAGGATAGTGCTTCTTAATGCTAATACCATAGGTGTTTTATGGTGTTTTTCCACATTGACATTATTTAGATAGGAGTGAATTACAGGTTTGGTCTTGATGACATAGATGACGAACGTTCCTCTTTCTTGACCTTAGTCTCTTGACTTAAACCTTTGTGTCCTCAGGCACTTTGAGGGGGAGAGCCTGTCCTGCCTGAGCAGCACCATGCACTGCCATCTCCAGTCCCTGCTGCTGCAAGCCCAGAGGCCCTGTCACAACCAGACCGACTGGAACACGGACGGGCTCTTCAGCTTCTGTTACAGTCTTCTCTTCAGGTATGTTTGGAGGAGTTCCAATTGTCGTGGAAATTACCACTAAGGATTTAAAGTTAAATGAACAGATCTTTATTATCAAGGCCGGAGAGGTTACAACAAACAGAATATTCTAAGTACAAGTCTGTCAGAAGCTCTGAAGTGATGTTCTCCCTTCAGCACTCTTTATACTCATGCACAAACTAGGCATCTCTGCTCTCAGAGGGCAATAAGCTGATCATGACCTTGCACACACAGTGTCTAGACGTTGGGCCAAAGTAACAATGTGTTCCCTTCTTTCTGTTCTTCTTCTATCAGTCCCTTCCCTGAGAGCAGTCACATAACATCCTAACACAATAATCAGGACTCAACACGCTACATGCATTTGCAGAGACACAGAGGACACAGAAAATGTCCACTACACCATATGTGATAACAAAAATGTATTTTACTTCTTAACATACATTCAGTCTATCATCAGGAGTGCATTGAGTAAATACTTCATATTTGATCATTTTTCCGTTACCCTTTACATTATAAGGTTGCTGTCGTTTAACAACCTAACTTAAAACCTTCAGGTATTTTATCAAACATGGATACTAAGTAATTCTTGTATATTATTTACATTTTACATTTTAGTCATTTAGCAGACACTCTTATCCAGAGCGACTTACAGTTAGTGAGTGCATACATTTTTTTCCTTATTTTTTTTCATACTGGCCCCCGTGGGAATCGAACCCACAACCCTGCCGTTGCAAGCGCCATGCTCTACCAACTGAGCTACACAGGGCCCATCATCCATTATAGGGGGAAAGGGGAGTTCATGGAGAGACAGCACGTTATCAGTATCACCTTCTTTAGTAGCATTGAACATGATAGTTGCTGAGACTCGAGTTGCCAGGGAAGTACAAATGGCCTTACAACAAGAAAGCAAAAATGATCAAACACATTAAACAAAATATTCCAGCTATCACTCACGGAACTATCTGGGAGCCCCAAGCTCCAAAGAGGCCTTTCAGCCAACCAGGAAACACCAACTCTGATTTCCTGGAATGAGACTTTGCAACCGTGGCAATGTAGTTAGCCAGATCTGTCACATTTGATGACACATCTGGGACAAAAGTGCAGCATTTGTCGCCAATGAGTGCAGAAGTACCCCCTTGACCAGCCAATAAGTAGTCAAGTGCCTCTCTGTTTTGCAGGGAGTCCTTTCACTTCCTCATTCAGAACAACCAAGGCATCTCTAGTAGGGCTCTGGCGGTCACGAAATTTCATCAGCTGGTGATTGTCAAGCAAATAACTGTTGGTCTCACGGTAATTGACCATTAATTAACATAAACACATTTAGTATCTCCTGGCTTCCACACATAGCCTACAAGCCACTGATGCAGACCTTTGGAATATCTATATTTTAGAAAGTCTAATAAATCCATTTAATATAGCCTACAACTTCACAATAAATCCATTATTTATTTTAGACAGGTCTAAAGAAGCATTATATGAAGAAAATGTAGTCTATTTCAGAAGAACAGAATAGCATACTCTGAGTTGTCCTTATGTTAGGTCCTGACCTGGCTATGCCAAATGGCTGTGGGCTACACTAGTTCATTTAGCAGACAAGATTTGCTTAGAATTCCGTGGCATTATTTTATAGTATGAAGAATACAATTGAACAAAGCTGAATAAAATAGAAAGGATATTTTCTCCAAACGATTTGAGTGAGTGCGCACATACGGCTATTCTGTGTTAATTTAGAGTTATTCATGTAACTTTAGTTGTTCTACAAACGTTGGGCTATATGTTTAGATTTTTAATACATTGTAAGGCTGCATGATGCGACTCTAATGATTATTTGAAAAAAGTCGCTTGAAAGGCATGAGCTCTGCTTTGTTTTTTGCACAGGCTGTACACACTACATCAGTCACTCATTCACAATTTGACAAGCACTTGATGATGCCTAGAATTTCACGGCGGCATCCCCTTTGTGTGGCCGTAATGCACCTTAAACAAATCCATGCCTTTTGCAGCCCGTGGCCGTTGTGCACTTCTCCCTGAGTGCGGAGCGCGCCGAATCACCTCTCACTCACATGGCTCTCCATCACGTGATCGGGTCTTTCTCACAGGCTACAAATGAAGACAGACACATCGGGGACGCAACTGCGCGCGTCCATATCCAATTCCGAGGTGCATATTGAAGACATTAGAAGAACTGTCCACATTTACTTTTCGTCAGCCAACAAGATGGTTAGGCCTAATGAACAGCAAAAGCACTAGCCTATGTCAATCTACTATCCCCCATAGTACAAAAGTCGACCTATTCTATTCTGTGCGAGAAATAAATATTCCAAACATAGTCTGGGACAGTTGTGGGATGCGATAGATCCCAAATTAATACAACCACTAGCGTCAAAAAACCTTTTTTACGCAATGTGGCTGACGCAACAGATCAGAACGTTTAGCTTAAAATTTTGATAAACAATTAGGCTATTTCTTGACATTATAAGCGCAACAATGCGCACATGTGTCACGTTCGTTGAAGGACGGGTCAGACCAAGGCGCAGCGTGAAATGCGTACATGTTTATTTAAACTATAAACACACGAACAAAACAACCAACAAACGAAACGTGAAGTCCTAAGGCAAAACACAAAACAAGCCTCCACACGGAACAAGATCCCACAACTAACTAGTGCCAATAGGCTGCCTAAGTATGATCCCCAATCAGAGACAACGAGCGACAGCTGTCTCTGATTGGGAATCACACCCGGCCAAACACAGAACTACAACACCTAGACTGAAACATAGAAAACACACCATAGAACACCACACCCTGACTCAACATATAAGAGTCCCTTGGTGCGAGGAGCAGGAACGGGCCGGGCCGGACTGGCGACACGCACCACTGGCTTGGTGCGAGGAGCAGGAACAGGCCGGGCCGGACTGGCGACACGCACCACTGGCTTGGTGCGAGGAGCAGGAACGGGCCGGGCCGGACTGGGAACACGCACCACTGGCCTGGTGCGAGGAGCAGGAACGGGCCGGGCCGGACTGGGAACACGCACCACTGGCTTGCTGCGGGGAGCAGGAACGGGTCGTACCGGGCTGGCGATACGCACCACTGGCTTGATGCGGGGAGCAGGAACGGGCCGGACCGGGAACACGCACCACTGGCTTGGTGCGAGGAACAGGAACGGGCTGGACCGGACTGTGGAGGCGGACTGGAGGTCTGGAGCGGAGAGCTGGCACAACCCGTCCTGGCTGCCCACTTTCACACGACACGTGCAGGGCGCTGGCACAGAACGCACTGGGCTGTGCATGCGCACTGGCGATACAGTGCGTTTCTCCGCATACCTGGGTTCCTCTTTTAACCCCCGCTCCTTATATTGCCTAACCAGCTCCTCTCTCCGTGCCTCTACTTCCTCCTTCTCCCTACGAGCCTCCTGCAGTGCCTCCTCTTGAATGGATCTCTCCCGCTCTATTCTAGGGAGCCCCCACGAGTTAGGGAACAGACACTCATCGTCGTCGTCATCCTCCGGCTCTTCTCTCTCGCTCCCCGACCACTCCTTTAGCCCCCCCCAATTGTTTTTATTGGGGCTGCCACTCAGGCTTCCTCCTCGGCCGGCGCCTTCTGTGTTGCCGTTGCTCCTCTCCTGCCTGGGCTTCCTTCTTCGCCCAGGGTCCTTTTCCCGCAAATATCTCCTCCCAAGACCAAATCTTCCCCACCTGTGTCCAGGGTGTTTGCTCCTGGGCACGCTGCTTGGTCCGTGTGTGGTGGGATCTTCTGTCACGTTCGTTGAAGGACGGGTCAGACCAAGGCGCAGCATGAAATGCGTACATGTTTATTTAACTGATAAACACACAACAAAACAACCAACAAACGAAACGTGAAGTACTAAGGCTAAACACAATACAAGCCTCAAACCGGAACAAGATCCCACAACTAACGAGTGCCAATAGGCTGCCTAAGTATGATCCCCAATCAGAGACAACGAGCGACAGCTGAATGGAATCTACTGGCCAAGTATTTCAATTTCTATCAGGGGATTTTCAATCGAATAGGTGGTAAGTTTCAGCATCTGGCATGCTTCTGTTTCCACCTCATCCTATGTTCTTTGCCCACCAAAGGGATTTCCAACCCTTACATCTTCATGTGGTCCTCGCCATTCACCCTGGTCATCTCCATCACCAGGACAGTCCCTTGCAAAATGTCCTGTCTTGCCACAGTTGTAGCAGCTCCGGTCTCTCCCTCCAGAGGCGCCTTGCGCTCCTCGCCCTCTGCCTCTTCCCGTTCCTCTACCTCCTCTCGGCCTCGTAGATGATGTGTTTTCTCCCGGGAAGCCCACAGTGAGTGTCTGGTCTGGGCGGGTCCTCGTCATCTTTGGTCAGATGAGAATTTCCCTTGCATGCCTTCACATGGAATGCGCCACCGGTGTTCCCTCACAAACCCTCACTGCCGAGCTCCACAGGTAGAATCAATCATCCTGTTTAGTGACGCCAAATTGTCGTGGGAATTACCACTAAGGACTCAAAGTCAAAGTTAAATGAACAGATCTTTATTATCACAGCCGGAGAGGTTACAACAAACTTACTAAGTACAAGTCTGTCAGAAGCTCTGATGGGATGCTCTCCCTTCAGTACTCTTTATACTCATGCACAAACTAGGCATCTCTGCTCTCAGGGTGCAATAAGCTGATCATGACCTTGCACACACAGTGTCTAGACGTTGGGCCAAAGTAACAAAGTGTTCCCTTCTTTCTGTTCTTCTTCTATCAGTCCCTTCCCTGAGAGCAGTCACAGAACATCCTAACACAATAATCAGGACTCAACATGTTAAATGTAGTCACGCATTTGCAGCGACACAGCGGACACAAAAACGTTACACTACACTATACTTCCCTCCCTCCTCTCTCTCTCTCTCTCTCTCTCTCTCTCTCTCTCTCTCTCTCTCTCTAGCTCTCTCTCTCTCTCTCTCTCTCTCTCTCTCTCGCTCTCTCTCTCTCTCTCTCTCTCTCTCTCTCTCTCTCTTCTTCACTCACTCATTCACCCACGCGTCCCCCAGGGCCTACGTCAAATGCCTGGGATAAACAGTTTACGCACAAGCCCGTTCCACGAGCCACTTTGTTTGTAAATACACCAAGAAGAATGTTGAATGACACATAAGAGGCATTTAATGAAAGGAAAGAGCAGTGCCACCCATGCTTATTTGAGCCTCCCTCTCACACAAACACTAAGCTTCTAGGCTGCCCTTCCACGCCTACACACTTTAGAAGGCTTTTTATTTATAGAGATGTTTGAGTTGGTCATTTAAACACTCAGCATCCTAATGTGAAGCAGATGATGTAGCCATGACTTATTATTGCATGAGAGAAGTTTATACTAGTAATGGCCCACACTGTGAACAATAATCAGGTGGGTGAGCGGTGGAACACAGGAAGTGTACCTGTTGACCTTAAGTGGGAGGACACCAGCTTGAGTTGGGTAGTCCTACATCGATAGGAAATGAATCCTAACCATCACTTAAGGCAACATCAATCAATGTAATGACCACTCGTTGACATGGTTTCCGATGCGTAATTGCTACCTAAATTAGCAAGCTCCCTCTGTTTGGTATACCACCTAGTCTCGGAAATCCGAGACCTATGGTAACATGTCGGAACATTGTTACATTGTGGGAGGCAACCTGTCTGACTAGGGTGACTACTACTACCCTCACCTACCCACTCTCTCTCCCTCAGGGCAGGGTACCTCACACATTTCGAAGGGGAGCAGAAAAGCAACAGAACAGACCCCATTGACGTTTACGAGGAGTACCGGAAGTTTGACAACCTCCTGACCAAAATGGCCAGGACCACACTAAAACCAGGTGACTACATGAAACATGGTCCCTGAAAGAAACATAATGAACTACAAGGTTTTAAACCTGTGTAAAATTACAGTGGCAGCTGGATGTGGGAGTTGATAAAAATAGTAATTGTGTCCGATCTTAGGGCTCAATTAATTTTGAATGTGGTATTATAGTTTGAATGTTTTACCCTGATGTATTAAACAGACTAAATAGAGGGATAATTCAATCTGTATTATTATCACATTATATGACTCAGCTTTTTGTATCATTGAGTCGTCTGGCTATTTGTGATATTGTCATATTTGTCATTGTATGGACTCACTATGGTGACCACATCAGTGATTGGACTTCAGGTTTGATTCTCGGTTACCATGGTGCGGTCACTGCAGTGAATTACTTTATGTTTGAATCCCATTTCCGACTCACACTGGCTTATTACTCATGGTCCCTATGTCGTCTCCTCTCACTCTCACACCTGTTTCATACAGGCTCTATCTGATGTCACCTGACACACCTATGTATTCTCTCACTGTCACCTGTCCTTTTCACTCCCTTATCTCTGATTTTACTCCTCTCTCACTATACATACTGTATATGTTTTTACCTCCAGGCTTACTACCACATATCTCCTGTTTCTGATAGCATCTGCCCCACCTGTGTCACTATTGTCACCTTTTTCCATTCATATGGCATGTGGATCTCAGTGATGTTGCATGTCACACCGATGACTCACTCATTGCTTAATTTATGTCATGCTCATGTTTCATACCTCTTCCACCTGTATTAATATGATTACATCTATGGGTGGAGTTACATTAGTAAAATACAGTGCTTTTGGAAAGTATTCAGACCCCTTGACTTTTTCCCCATTTTGTTACATTACAGCCTTATTCTAAAATTGATTAAATTGTTTTGTTTCCCCCTCATCAATCTACACACAATACCCCATAATGACAAAGCAAAAACAGGTTTTTAGAAATGTTTGCAAAATTATTAAAAATAAAAAACTTAAATATCACATTTACATAAGTATTCAGACCCTTTACTCAGTACTTTGTTGAAGCACCTTTGGCAGCAATTACAGCTTAGAGTCGTCTTGGGTATGACGCTACAAGCTTGGCACACCTGTATTTGGGGAGTTTCTCCCATTCTTCTCTGCGGATCCTCTCAAGCTCTGTCAGGTTGGATGGGGAGCGTCGCTGCACAGCTATTTTAAGGACTCTCTAGAGATGTTCGATCGGGTTCAAGTCCGTGCTCTGGCTGGGCCACTCAAAGACATTCAGAGACTTGTCCCGAAGCCACTCCTGCGTTTTGTCTTGGCTGTGTGCTTAGGGTCGTTGTCCTGTTGAAAGGTGAACCTTCGCCCCAGTCTGAGGTCCTGAGCGCTCTGGAGCAGGTTTTCATCAAGGATCTCTCTGTACTTTGCTCCGTTCATCTTTCCCTCAATCCTGACTAGTCTCCCAGTCCATGCAGCTGAAAACCATACCCACAGCATGATGCTGCCTCCACCATGCTTCACCGTAGGGATGGTGTCAGTTTTCCTCCAGATGTGATGCTTGGCATTCAGACCAAAGACTTCAATCTTAGTTTCATCAGACTAGCGAATCTTGTTTCTCGTGGTCTGAGTCCTTTAGGTGCCTTTTGGCAAACTCCAAGCAGGCTGTCATGTGCCTTTTACTGAGGAGTGGCTTCCGTCTGGCCACTCTACCATAAAGGCCTGATTGATGGAGTGCTGTAGAGATGGTTGTCCTTCTGGAAGATTCTTCCATCTCCACAGAGGAACTCTGTCAGCGTGACCATCGGGTTCTTGGTCACCTCCCTGACCAAGGCCCTTCTCCCCCGATTGCTCAGTTTGGCCGGGCGGCCAGCTCTAGGAAGAGTCTTGGTGGTTCCAAACTTCTTCCATTTAAGAATGATGGAGGCCACTGTGTTCTTGGGGACCTTCAATGCTACAGACATTTTTTGGTACCCTTCCCCAGATCTGTGCCTCAACACAATCCTGTCCTTTTTACTGAAGAGCAACAAATATAACGTTTTGGAATGGCCTAGTCAAAGTCCAGACCTAAACCCGATTGAGATGTTGTGGCAGGACCTGAAACAAGCAGTTCATGCTCGAAACCCCACAAATGTCTCTGATTTAAAGCAGTTCTGCATGGAAGAGTGGGCCAAAATTCCTCCACAGCAATGTGAGAGACTGATCAACAACTACAGGAACCGTTTGGTTGCAGTCATTGCAGCTAAAGGTGGCACAACTAGTTATTGAGTGTAAGGGGGCAACTACTGTGTAAGGGTGTTGCATAACTTTGTTTATTAAATAAATGAAATAAGTTTCCAAATGTTGTGTTATTTGTTCACTCAGGTTCCTTTTTATTTAATATTCGGTTTTGGTTGAAGATCAGTATCAAAACATTCAGTATCAAAAATATGTAAAAATAGAGAAAATCAGAAAGGGGGCAAATACTATTTCACGGCACTAATCACATTAACTCTGTTTAACCTGTGTGTTTGTTTGTGTTTACTCTTGACTCACCTTCCTGTGCCTGTGTGTGTTCCTGTCTCTGTGTGTTTTGTGTGGGTGTCTCTCTGCCTGTCTGTCTGTCTGTCTGTCAGAGGAGAAGAGGACTGCCCAGAGTGTGCGGGTGCGTCTGTGGGAGCTGTTGTCCCCGGCGGGGCTGGGTGAAGGCTCGGGGTCCAGCACCTGGCTGAGAGGCTACAGACACCTCCTACAGGAGGAGGGAGCTGACGAGGACACACAGAGGAGAGCCCTGCTGCTGCAGCTCTGGGCCACACAGGTGAGTCACATTCACTCCCCGAACTCACTTCCCTGTGAGTGTTCTGTCATTGTTACAGAGCAAGGGCTGCCCAGCAATTTATAGCTGTTCTGAACAGGTCTCGTGAACGATTGGTGAAGATCCCTGTTGTTCCATTGCACCCAAAAATTCCTTTCTATTCAATAGCTTTTTGGAGGTGGGCCAACACCTTTCTGGCACACCCTTCTGGCTAGCAGCCATCTTAAACATGACAATGTTCCAATACAAAGATTCTCACATGCCAATGTCAGATGCTAGTCTCGATTGGTTAGGGTTACCCTTTGTAAAATTCTGCTTCCAACACAGTGTGCCTCTCAAATTCTGATTCTACTGTGCCTGTTTGTCAGCCACACCTTTACGCCTTGTTCAACCATTGTAGAATACTTTTATAATAAGTGATTATTCTTGAAAAACTAGAAATAATTACGAGCACGTGCAGTGCTTTAAGATGAATACTAATGCTGTATTCTCAACCACTGGAGTGTATGGAAAAACCCCAGAACAGTTAGACCTTATTTTAGAGTTGTTATGTAAGAGGGCAGATATACTATCCCTATGTTAGACTACTGCGAGTCCCAGTGGGCTTCAACTACACATGGCCTCAGTGGGATTGTCTCAAGCTGTATTTCTCTTCCGTGCTAGAATTGTTGTCACAGAGAGACACTACAGTCCGCTCCTCCTGCTCTAATAAGGACTTCACAACAGAAAGATGGACATGAGTGTAATACTCATCTTTACCACAAGAGTGCACTTGAGTGTAGCCTCTTTATGTAGAGAAAAGTGTCCCAAGATGGCAAAAGTAGGCTGTAAACACAAAGGTGTCTTCAAGTGCATCTGAACATATTCTGAGACTAAGTACATTCTGAGTACACTCTGCTTAGCAGGGTTGGGGTCAATTCCATTTAAATTCCAGTCAATTCAGGAGGTATTGTCTTCAATGCTTTTCAATGAGGAACATTTGGAATTGGAATTTTGTTTACTTTCTGAATTGAAATGGAATTGACCCCAACCCTGCTGCTTAGACATATTACTTCACCCATTGAGAACTGATAACTGCCTCAAACATTTTCCACAGACACATGATCAACCATCATCATGCAACTCTTGATTGCTATCTTTCAGTTCCCTTTTTTTAAGTTCCCCTAAGAATTTAGTGAAGAACATAAGGTGTTACCAACAATATCCTCACCAAACCCAGTCTCCTCCTTGTGGTATTACATTATATTGTATAAAACTCCTAGATAGTCTATTGTGCAGTTTATTACATGGCAAACATTGTTTAGTCTGGAGGCAATGTAAATTCAGTGGTCTTTCCAATCATGTACAAACACAGAGAGATGGCCATGGACAAGCCAGTCTGTCCTCAAACACTCCATATTGAGTCTCTCTTTGATGTCTAATGGATTTCCTTCCTGACAGTAGCCAGAACGTGGTTCTCTATCATAGAGACACAGGAAAGGAACCAGTGTAATTCATTAGGCGTTGTGATTGAACTGTACAGACAAGTGATGGTTGCTCCTTGTGTGAACTACATGACTATGAGAGAAAATAATAAGAGTTGGCATGTAATGTTCTCTTCTCCGATTAGATAATTGCTACCTGTACAATCTCTCTGTGAGAACTATCAGAGAGGGAACTCACTGTATCATTGCCTTCATGTCAATCTTTATTTGTTGCCAGGGTAATGTTGGACCTGCTGCATTCTGGCTCTTGGGTTTCCTGTTGACAAATCCTGAGGCCATGAGGGCGGTGAGGAAGGAGTTCAGCAAGATCTCAGAGCAGGACTCAGCACAGTGTCCCCTACTGGACAGGCTACAGCACACGCCTGTGTTTGGTGAGTGTTTCTTGTTTACTGCACAAAGACAAGGAGCTTCATCCCTATGGGCACATGTACCCTAATGAACAGAGTATTTCTGTTTAGAATCATGATAGAGAGAGGGAGAGGGAAATGAGGGTAGGGGAAAAAGAGATGGAGAGGTGGTGAGAGGGGGAGAGGAAAGTTGAAAAGAGAGATACATACAACACACACACACACACATGCACACTGTTCCCAGGTGAGTGTCCACACATAGTATTTGCCTGAGGCCCTAATGACTAAAAGACCAGGGCAGATCCACCTGCTCAGACCCTGAAGGATGCTCTCAATTAGCTAATGGCTCCCATGTCACCATCAACAGGTGGTCTAACCTCTAGTGCAAATAATGACATTAACCTGAATATAGAAACCTGACTTTAGCCCTTTTGAAAGTGTAACTCCTCTGCAGGGAGTCCTCAAATGAGAATGACCTTCGTGAATCTATTATGAGGACATAACCCCTGCATAACCCCAAGCATTTCGCTACACCCGCAATAACATCTGCAAAATATGTGTATGTGACCAATAACATTTTATTTTATTTGATATGCATAATTAGTGTTCATCCTCTTCTTTTCTTTGTCCTCCCCATCCCAGACAGTGCCTTAGAGGAGACGCTGAGGCTCAGGGCTGCCCCCTTCATTACCAGAGAGGTAGTGCAGGCAAAGGCCCTGCACATGGCTGATGGGCAGGAGTACAAACTCAGGAGTGGGGACAGAGTGTGTCTGTTCCCATTCATTAGCCCTCAGATGGACCCTGAGATCCACCAGGAACCACAGGTATGGATGTCACTTGTCTCTCACACATTAACAAAGACAAACTCCCTAATTAATGGACAATTAAAGATTAGTTTCAAGTCCATCTGTGCATGTTCTGTCAATCCTACAACACTAGTTGTATTAATTGTGTAGCACAGGTTGAAGATAAGGTACAGTAATAAGCATTGACGTTTGTTTACATAAAGAGGAAGCACGCCTACACGGTTTCTAAAGTGCCCCTGGATTACGGAGGGAGGGAGGGAGGGAGGGAGGGAGGGAGGGAGGGAGGGAGGGAGGGAGGGAGAGAGGGAGGGAGGGAGGTTAAACCCATAACACTGGACCACTACAGGATTAGCCGGTACGGCACAGGAACACACACAGAAACACAGCTAATAGGCGTGGGAAGGGAATTAGTTACACAGCTTTGTCATTGCTATGTCCTTCTCCACCCTACGGTACCAGCCAATTAGTGGAATATGCAGGGAAATTGAAGTCAATGATGGGGTAGTAATAGATATGATATGGTTGTGTGTAGCAGGAAGCGTTTGGGAACAGTCATGTGTGATCATCATTTGTTAGTATGAGCTGGATTCACTGCTTTACCTCCCTGTGTTTCCTGTCATAGAGATTCAAGTATGACCGCTTCCTCAACCAGGACGGCTCTGTGAAGAAGGACTTCTTTAAAGGAGGGAGACGGCTCAAGTACTACACCATGCCATGGGGCGCGGGCACCAACGGCTGTGTGGGCAAACGCTTTGCTATCAGTTCCATCAGACAGTGAGTGTCTCTGAGTGTTCCCTGTGGGTGTTAGGGGAGGGCAGAGGAAGTCAGAGGTCCCCACCTCACCAGAGTCAGGGACAAACTAAATTATGGGACAGACAATTGATTAGCTCACCTCACAGCAAATGCCATTTAGGGAGATGGAAGGCTTAGCAGCTGTCTGTTTCTACGCAGACTCCTCCAGGTGTCTATGCAAGATTGGGCTCCAGTGAGATGAATTTCACTGCTATGCAAATAGCCCATTCCAAAGGAAAATACAAATGGGGTTTGCAAAAACTGGTATATGCAAATAGAAAATGTTACAGTTTAGGCATGTTTGTAATGTATTATGTCAACAACTCATCTATTGTGTCTCTCTCTATGTGTTCAGGTTTGTGTACCTGGTGCTGTCTCATCTGGAACTGGAGCTGTGTGACCCAGAGGCTCAGATGCCAGAGGTGAACACCAGTCGCTATGGGTTTGGAATGTTGCAGCCTGAAGGAGACCTGGCCATCAGATATAAACGTAGACGGTCACATTGAAGACACAGAGTGGTGTGGAGATCTCTTAAAACAGACATCAATTTATGCTCGTTTCAAAGTATTTATGACATATGTCCATATAAAGTCTTGTATCTATTTTTGTACCAACACAAATGTACAGTGTAATGTTATTGTGCTATTTATCTTGAATTATAATTTATATATTTCACTTTAAAGTGTTTGTTTTTGTTCTTCACTATTTTGTTTATACAATATATTGTATCAATGATTAGCTTGACTCCATAAAACCTGCCCGAAGTGTTTAAAGTGCTTTCCATTTAAACTCTTGCCCCACCTAATTACAAATATATATATTTTTTAATGTTCACAACAATTTGGAGCTTATCCCAGTGATTAAATGGTGTCATAAATCCCCTCCAGTCTCATCACAGTTGTGTCCATTGCATCAGGGAACTATTTGGTAGATGCTTTGAGAGTAATGGGGTGGCTGGCCGCTCTTTAAACAGAGCTAACCACACATTCGTCACACTGACATTGCCCTGCTGGTCAGGGGCAGAGTGAACGGAAAGTTTAGATTTATATGTCATTTGAAAATAAATTGATAGCCCAGTTGACCAATAACAAGAGCTGGCCTACTTTTTAGTCACACGTTAAATTACTGAGTCCATATCCCCCTAACAGGTTTCTGGGGATCCCAGCAGCATAACATTGAGTGGTAAGCTTATGCATGTACAAAGAGATTGCAAATGTAAAGCATGTTGTACCCAATGACGTATATAAACTCTGGATTGCTGATGCAATGTAATGGCCATTGAGAGGCTTTGGAAACCACCGGTCGGCCATATTGGCACTCCCTAGTAGGAGCAGTCCTCCATAGGAATGAATGGAATTCTACAGTATTTCAATTAAAAGGACAAAATGACATGTATTTAAGTATTTTATTGTTGTAGTGGGGACAATAACATTAGTACTCTCTAAACAAAATACTTGAAGGAAACTGTTTTTACATATTATTTTCTTTTTTTAAATAATGTTTAGTTCACGTAATATAATTTGAAAGTATGCATTAAGGCGTCTGTAATAGAATAAAGGTGTCAAAAACGAATGTAGACATTAATAAATGCATTTCTATTGCTTCCAAAATATTTTTTACAATTGCGGAGGAGTACCAAGATGGCTGCGCGGTGGCTTCAATACAGCGCCCCCCTGTCAGTCATCCAGGGTTTATACACATCATTGGTTGTACCCAGTGCAATGAGGGTCCCTCAAATTACAAACTTTGGAGACCCTCAAATGACCCTTATGTACAGATTGTATAACTTTGTTATAATAGCCTAATAGGGTATACAATACAATACAATAGAAGGCATATCATAGGAATGGTGTAACATAGACACCTGCTCTCTCTTGCACACAATAGTGCTGTTAAACCCTGTGATTGCTGCTTGATTTGTTTTCTCAGTTTTTGTGTCATCATGTACATGTTGGCCATTGATCATGCCCAAAGCAGGGGACACCAAAGCAACTACCTTGCCAAGACTGTAAATCTTGTAAAATACCTTTTACTTAGATCTTTTCCCACAAAACACTGGTTAATAATGACACTAATATTTAGTCTGTTTTGTGCAAATTATATCCTAGTAGTCTACTGTACATAAAAGTTGCTTATTGCACAACTTTTGGATAAATATAAAAACTTTGTTCTGATTTAAATGGAGTGATTTAAAAAAAATGTTGCCTAAATAATGTCTTATTTGTTTATGATAGCCTTCTTGTTTGCTTAAATAGAGCACTTGGTGTTCAATATCATTATTTGCAGTTTCCAGAGTAGGCCTGTAGTCATCATGTACATGTTGGCCGTTGATCATGCCCACTGCAGGGGACACCACCAAAGCAACTACTTTGCCAAGATTGTAAATCTTGTAAAGAAAAATATATATACACTACCAGTCAAAAGTTTTAGAACACCTACTCATTCAAGGGTTTTTCTTAATTTTTACTATTTTCTACATTGTATTTAGAATAATAGTGAAGACATCAAAACTATGAAATAACACATATGGAATCATGTAGTAACCAAAAAAGTGTTAAACACATCAAAATATATTTAATATTTGAGATTCTTCAAAGTAGCCACCATTTGCCTTGATGACAGCTTTGCACACTCTTGGCATTCTCTCAACCAGCTTCATGAGGAATGCTTTTCCAACAGTCTTGAAGGAGTTCCCACATATGCTGAGCACTTGTTGGCTGCTTTTCCTTCACTCTGCGGTCCAACGCATCCCAAACCATCTCAATTGGGTTGAGGTCGGGTGATTGTGGCCAGGTCATCTGATGCAGCACTCCATCACTCTCCTTGGTCAAATAGCCCTTACACAGCCTGGAGGTGTGTTTTGGGTCATTGTCCTGTTGAAAAACAAATGATAGTCCCCCTAAGCCCAAACCAGATGGGATGGCGTATCGCTGCAGAATGCTGTGGTGGCCATGCTGGTTAAGTGTGCCTTGCATCCTAAATAAATCACAGACAGTGTCACCAGCAATGCACCCCCACACCATCACACCTCCTCCTCCATGCTTCACGATGGGAACCACACATGCGGAGATCATCCGTTCACTTACTCTGCGTCTCACATGGCGGTTGGAACCAAAAATCTCAAATTTGGACTCATTAGACCAAAGGACAGATTTCCACCGGTCTAATGTCCATTGCTCGTGTTTCTTGGCCCAAGCAAGTCTCTTCTTCTTATTGGTGTCCTTTAGTAGTGGGTTCTTTGCAGCAATTCGACCATGAAGGCCTGATTCACACAGTCTCCTCTGAAGAGTTGATGTTGAGATGTGCCTGTTACTTGAAATCTGTGAAGCATTTATTTGGGCTGCAATCTGAGGTGCAGTTAACGCCAATGAACTTATCCTCTGCAGCAGAGGTAACTCTGGGTCTTCATTTCCTGTGGCAGTCCTCATGAGAGCCAGTTTCATCATAGTGCTTGATGGTTTTTGCGACTGCACTTGTCTTAAAGTAATGATGGACTGTCGTTTCTCTTTGCTTATTTGAGCTATTCTTGCCATAATATGGTCTTTTACCAAATAGCGCTATCTTCGTTATACCACCCCTACCTTGTCACAACACAACTGATTGGCTCAAACTCATTAAGAAGGAAATAAATTCCACAAATTAACTTTTAACAAGGCACACCTGTTAATTCAAATGCATTCCAGGTGACTACCTCATGAAGCTGGTTGAGAGAATGCCAAGAGTATGCAAAGTTGTCATCAAGGAAAAGGGTGGCTACTTTGAAGAATCTCAAATATAACATATATTTTGATTTGTTTAACACTTGTTTGTGTTATTTCATAGTTTTGATGTCTTCAATAATATTCTACAATGTAGAAAATAGTAAAAATAAAGAAAAACCCTGGAATGAGTAGGTGTGGCCACATTTTTGACTGGTACTGTATATATATGTTTACACTCTCTTGTGCACAGTGTTCCATGTCCCAAAGAGTGGCCCACAAAGAAAGCAACTGCGTAATTTCTCGTCACCCTTTTATGAACCATTGGGCTTTTTTTTACAACTACATGCACTTATGGGCAGACTATTTCACCGATTCTGGACTCTCCTGTTTATCGTTGTTAGGCGAAAATCTCTATAGGGAGATCATTTCAAGAAGACCAACTGTCAGGTCGCGGTTGCTTCGCTCTCGTGAAACACCGCTGTTCTATGTGGTGCTAAAGTTAAAGGATTTCAGCACCGAAGTATAGGGACAGCGCACAGCGGGGAAATGTGATGGTTTTCTGTACTGACATATAGGCGTTTTCAGCACTGGACAGCGCTCGCGAGTGGAGTCGAGTTTATCATTGCGCTTCCTCCACCCTGCTCACTCATCAGCGAGGAAAGCGGCTGTACGGATTAAATTATCTGTTTGGTTCTCTGATGAGTGGATAAACCACCTGACATTGCGTTCTCTATCAGGCCCGTAGGTCATCGGGCTCGATTGTAATTTTATATAGTTACCCCTGATGTTTCTCTTTTCCCCTTTTGTGGCCACAGGAATAGGGGAGAACAGACCCTAATGTAGGACCGTGTCTTCTGGACCTGTCTGGCCATATAGTTTCGGACATTATTCATTCTCAAGTGGCTGAACGTCTTGAGTGAGGATGAATAAAGGGGGCTCTCGGTCGACCACCTCGCTTCCACCGGAGCCGGTGGATATAATCCGGAGCAAGGCGCATTCCCGCCGGGTGAGACTCAATGTTGGGGGTCTCCTCCACGAAGTTCTATGGAGAACGCTGGATAGGTTGCCCCGAACAAGGCTGGGCAAACTACGAGACTGTAACACCCACGAGTCTCTCATGGAGATATGCGACGACTACAGTTTGGATGATAATGAGTACTTTTTCGACAGACACCCCGGGGCTTTCACGTCCATTCTGAATTTCTACCGCACGGGAAAACTGCACATGATGGAGGAGATGTGTGCCCTGTCGTTTAGTCAGGAGCTGGACTTCTGGGGTATAGATGAGATCTACCTAGAGTCCTGCTGTCAGGCCAGGTACCACCAGAAGAAGGAACAGATGAACGAGGAGCTCAAAAGAGAAGCCGAAACTATGAGGGGTAGGGAAGGCGAGGATTTTGATACCACATGTTGTTCCGAGAAACAAAAGAAACTGTGGGATCTCCTGGAGAAGCCGAGTTCATCGTTAGCTGCTAAGGTAAGCAAAGTCCGGTATACCTCTTCAAGTTTGTCTGAACTTTTCCCTGCAAGGGCTTACTGCTCTGCCATGGGATTGCATGTCATCTTGCTTTAAGTGGATCGGCAGTTAATAAGCGAATGTAACTTCACATAGGTCCTCCTAGATAAATATTATTGGTGGCTTACCGCCACATTGAAGAGTTCAATTTAGTCATTTGCATTACATTCAACAAAAAAAAAAAAGGTGCCACATTTTGATTATGACATATAATTTGCTTAAATTGTTCATATTTAAACAATTACATGACCTCTCCTTGAGGGTGAGAGTTGTTCTAAAGAGGAAAGTCATAACTAAGGACAAGCATAACTTTAAGTTTCTAGACTTGTAAGTGCTATGACTCACACTATGAGTGTGTTTGTGATGAAGCATGTCATTGTAGGTTGACTTCACTAAAGTTGACATAAAACATTGTGTGGCCTCTGATGCCTGGCTGGCTCCCTTCATCTCGGAGCCAGTGCTTTTAATCTGTCATGTTCAATGGCTCTGGAGAGCTCCTGGAAAAGCACTATTCCACATCTCCTGTACCAATGAATGAATGTAGCCTATCTCTGAGAGGTCGTCTGTTCATACCAATAGGGAGGTAAAGGTGTCAACAGAGCATTAGCTCCATCATGACAGACTGATCTGATATTATGCATGTAGCTGATTTTGCCCTCATATTGAATACTTAGAATACTGAGTTTTGTCTGGAGACAAGTGGGCAGTACTGGGAAGTGGGAAGGCACGGGTACAAGGACCAGTTCGTGATCAGTGTGTGATTGAACGCGTGCATTTCTAATTATCTTGTCCCTCTCTGTTAGTTTCAGACTCCAACAGTCTCTTTGATTTTAAACCCAGTGTGATTCCTATAAAGGTCTCTTGAACACAGCGGTCGTTCATATTTGTATTGGTAAATCGAGAGAGGAAGGAGAGAGCAACATCTCTTACTGGAGGTATGCATCCCAGGGGACTGGAGAAAATAGATGCATTAATCAAAACCACTACGTAAATGTAACTCTTCAACTAATTATAGTCAGTTTATCAAGTATTTAAACTGATTCTGGTCCCACTCTCTTGTCTTTGGATTTCATAATGAGTGTATGTAGATGACATTTTCAGTGTTTGGTTCCACCCACTCCTCTCTCTCTCTCTCTCTCTCTCTCTCTCTCCTCTCTCCTCTCTCTCCTCCTTCTCACGTCTCTCCTCTCTCTCTCCTCTCTCTCCTCTCTCTCTCTCTCTCTCTCTCTCTCTCTCTCTCTCTCTCTCTCTCTCTCTCTGCCTCATTTCCAGCCCTGCATTTTCTCTCATAATTTCTCTAATTTATGAGCTCATTGCTCACGCTGCTGCAATAGGGCCATTTCACTGGGCTGGATCAATGTCATGTTCAGTCATGTTAACAGCATTTTAATGAAATGTTTCCACTACTGTTTGACTATGTCAATAATTAATTCACATGATTAATAACAGCCCAATAACATTTTCTGAACACTACAACTGTAAATAGATTGAGTAATAATTGGGAGAGTGGGGGGTCAATATTACACAGGTATCATTATATAGCTGGTTTAGCAAATGTGAGTGTTGTGTTGTTTTCTTTTTGTTTTTCTGCTTACTTGTAACCAAGACAGCATTACGTTTTTATGAAGACGTTTTAGAGTTCATGGATCATGCCCACTCCGATTTCTACTGTATTCTTCACCTGCTCTGCCTACTATTGTATATTACAGTGAGGTCCAACAGTATTTGGACATTGATAGATGTTTTGTTGTTTTGGCTCTGTACTCCATCACTTAGTATTTGAAATGACTATGATACACGCAATGATACACAATGATACACTGTCCCCCCATTTTAGGTAACCAAAAGTATTTGGACAAATTCAGTTATATGTGTATTAAAGTAGTCAAACCTTTAGTATTTGGTCCCATATTCCTAGCACACAATGACTACATCAAGCTTGTGACTCTACAAACTTGTTGGATGCATTTGCAGTTTGTTTTGGTTGTGTTTCAGATTATTCTGTGCCCAATATAAATTAATGGTAAATAATCTATTGTGTCATTTTGTCGCATGTTTCTGAACATTAATGTGGATGCTACCATGATTACGAATGAATCGTGAATAATGAATCGTGAGAAAGTTGCAGTGGCACCAAAGATCATACCCCCAATACATGCTAACCTATCACATTTATCAATAACAGGGGGTGTTAGCATTCTGGGGTGGTATGATATTTATACGTATGAATATAATAGTACAGAGTTAGTATGTTCTTCTGTTCTAGTCAACATGATTCCTTTCCTCCCAACAGATTCATCTCAGTGCATTTGGCTCATGCTGCACAGCAGGATTAGTGCTGTCTGAGGACATAGATACAGTGGGGGAAAAAAAGTTTTTAGTCAGCCACCAATTGTGCAAGTTCTCCCACTTAAAAAGATGAGAGAGGCCTGTAATTTTCACCATAGGTACACGTCAACTATGACAGACAAATTGAGAAAACAAAATCCAGAAAATCACATTGTAGGATTTTTTATGAATTTATTTGCAAATTATGGTGGAAAATAAGTATTTGGTCACCTACAAACAAGCAAGATTTCTGGCTCTCACAGACCTGTAAGTTCTTCTTTAAGAGGCTCCTCTGTCCTCCACTCGTTACCTGTATTAATGGCACCTGTTTGAACTTGTTATCAGTATAAAAGACACCTGTCCACAACCTCAAACAGTCACACTCCAAACTCCACTATGGCGAAAGACCAAAGAGCTGTCAAAGGACACCAGAAACAAAATTGTAGACCTGCATCAGGCTGGGAAGACTGAATCTGCAATAGGTAAGCAGCTTGGTTTGAAGAAATCAACTGTGGGAGCAATTATTAGGAAATGGAAGACATACAAGACCACTGATAATCTCCCTCGATCTGGGGCTCCACGCAAGATCTCACCCCGTGGGGTCAAAATGATCACAAGAACGGTGAGCAAAAATCCCAGAACCACACGGGGGGACCTAGTGAATGACCTGCAGAGACTTGGGACCAAAGTAACAAAGCCTACCATCAGTAACACACTATGCCGCCAGGGACTCAAATCCTGCAGTGCCAGACGTGTCCCCCTGCTTAAGCCAGTACATGTCCAGGCCCGTCTGAAGTTTGCTAGAGTGCATTTGGATGATCCAGAAGAGGATTGGGAGAATGTCATATGGTCAGATGAAACCAAAATATAACTTTTTGGTAAAAACTCAACTCGTCGTGTTTGGAGGACAAAGAATGCTGAGTTGCATCCAAAGAACACCATACCTACTGTGAAGCATGGGGGTGGAAACATCATGCTTTGGGGCTGTTTTTCTGCAAAGGGACCAGGACGACTGATCCGTGTAAAGGAAAGAATGAATGGGGCCATGTATCGTGAGATTTTGAGTGAAAACCTCCTTCCATCAGCAAGGGCATTGAAGATGAAACGTGGCTGGGTCTTTCAGCATGACAATGATCCCAAACACACCGCCCGGGCAACGAAGGAGTGGCTTCGTAAGAAGCATTTCAAGGTCCTGGAGTGGCCTAGCCAGTCTCCAGATCTCAACCCCATAGAAAATCTTTGGAGGGAGTTGAAAGTCTGTGTTGCCCAGTGACAGCCCCAAAACATCATTGCTCTAGAGGAGATCTGCATGGAGGAATGGGCCAAAATACCAGCAACAGTGTGTGAAAATCTTGTGAAGACTTACAGAAAATGTTTGATCTGTGTCATTGCCAACAAAGGGTATATAACAAAGTATTGAGAAACTTTTGTTATTGACCAAATACTTATTTTCCACCATAATTTGCAAATAAATTCATAAAAAATCCTACAATGTGATTTTCTGTTTTTTTTTCTCATTTTGTCTGTCATAGTTGACGTGTACCTATGATGAAAATTACAGGCCTCTCTCATCTTTTTAAGTGGGAGAACTTGCACAATTGGTGGCTGACTAAATAATTTTTTCCCCCACTCCAAGGGGCTCAGAAACTTCTGAATGGAGGGGTGGGGGCAGGAGGGGGATGCAGAGATGAGGCAGCGGGAGTAATTCATTCACTTGACAAATAGGGCCCTTGTCCCATGTTTTCCCTCCGTATCTAGGGGAGAGGGAGATAAAAGTGTCATGCTGAGGTTTAATGGCAGGCGGTGGATGCAGCCTTGTTTTCCCATGCTTAATTGAAGGGTGGCGTCGCTAAAATAAGCTGTTCCCTAACACAGATTCCACCTAATTTATTTTTCAGTGCAGATACATTTTTTATTGTACATTAATTATGCTTGACTTTGTGTCGTGTGACGGGTTAAGGGAAGGTGCGATTCGCAGTATCTATAACTCAAGACGTCACCCTGGCTGTGCCTGGCCCTTTGGAGTTATAACCTCCACAAAATACACATATGAACCATGGCTCTGAGACAAGCCATTCCTCATAGTCAGACCTGCTGTATTATGAAGGACACTGTGTATACATGAGCCTCCCCACTGGGCACAGACGTCAATTCAACGTCTTTTCCACATTGATTCAATGTAATTTCATTGTAATTCATTGTTTTTCCCTCTGAATAATTCACCCAAAGTATATAAAATCTCTGGGAAACAAAACGTTTGAGATCATTAATTCATCCATTATAGATGATTCTCCTTTCGTACATACAGTATGTCTGAAAAGCGTGTACTGTGTGTGTTCACTGAGAGGAAAAGGAAAGCAGCTTGTGAATGGAAGACCTGGCTGGTGCTGCACTAAAGCATGTCTCAGCATGTTTCTGCCTCATAGACCACAGTTGACTCTCTGGGGCATCAGCATCATGGCCATGCAATATGACAGGCTCACAGTGCATCAGAGGGTTGTAGCCTGTACACTGCCATCTTACCTTACATTAGATAAGATAACACACAGACAGGATCAGATGACAAAGCTACTGTCAATGACAGTACTAGTTTGATTCAATATTTCATTGATTGTCCTACAGCAACGTTATTTTCCCTATACAATGTCAGGACATGTCTAGGTTATTGAGTCAACAGGTCGTGGCTATGGGTTGTGGGTTGATGGTGATATTTCCATATTTACACTCTGCCCTGTTCTACAGACATCCCTGACTCTCCATCTCCACACACAATCACAGCACCCTCCCCAGTCCAACCTCCAACCTCCCCATCCCCTGAAAGTCAAGCAATGGAACCTACAACGACTGCAGTTTGGACCCAGAATGGGACTTGAGCTATACAAAAAGGATGCTAGTAGTGTATTAACTAAATGGCTTGGAAAATCAGTTGTCAGACAATGTAATCAGACTATTTGATGTTACAGCTATGATTCAGTGGTGGTTGACCATGATCCAAATGCACCATTCAGCTGTAGTTAAAAAGCCATTTAGTTAATACTATTTCCTAACTATACTGAACAAAAATATAAATGCAACATGCAACAATTTCAAAGATGTTGCTGAGTTACAGATCATATAAGGAAATCAGTCAATTTAAATAAATAAATTAGGCCCTAACCTATGGATTCCCATCAATGTTCACGCAGGTGAAGAAGCCAGATGTGGAGGTCCTGGGCACGTGGTCTGCGGTTGTGTGGCTGGTTGGACGTACTGCCAAATTCTCTAAAACAACATTGGAGGCGGCTTATGGTAGAGAGATGAACATTCAATTCTCTGGCAACAGCTCAGGTGGACATTCCTGCAGTCAGCATGACAATTGCACGCTCCCTCAAAACTTGAGACATCTGTGGCATTGTGTTGTGTGGCAAAACTGCACATTTTAGAGTGGCCTTTTATTGTCCCCAGCACAAGGTGCATCTGTGTAATGATCCTGCTGTTTAATCAGCTTCTTGATATGCCACACCTGTCAGGTGGATGGATTGTCTTGGCAAAGGATAAAATGCTCACTAACAGGGATGTAAACAAATTTGTGCACAAAATTTGAGAGAACAACATTTGAGATTTTTGTGGGTATGGAACATTTCTACGATATTTTATTTCAGCTCATGAAACATGGGACCAGCGCTTTACATGTTGCATTTATATTTTTGTTCAGTATAAATGTTAATGTTGGATTTACTACAGTATATTTCTGTTGGACTTTCCTCAACACCTCATACAGACCTGTGAGGCCTCTTGAGCATCCCTGAACCCTGACCCTCACAGTAATCTCTTGGCTATACTCCTGAATGGGTTTGTGCTAGTTACAGTCACCCACTGCTATTTACTGAAACCTGCTTCAGGTTCTATCTCCTATTTTCCAGAAACACATTTTTGACTCAACCTCCGTCTCTGTCTCTGGTTGAGTGATGATGAGTAGGCCTACCTTATGGCTAGGTTGACAGGTCCTCTGCAAATAATGAATGAGGGGCTCCAGCAGCCTACAGTACAGCAGCCCTGTTCACATCTCCTCACGCTTGACCTTTCACTTCTTAAATGTCACCATTGGAACTTATCTGCAGTACTTTACTTTTCTACCCACACAAGTTTTATTAGTCGTATGTACGGGATACATATGGTATACACCTTCCAAAGAAATGCTTACTTGCAGGTTCCTTCTTGACAATGCAACAAAAATAAGAAATTATAAAAGATAAGAATAAGAACATAAAGTAAATGGCTCAGTAGAATATCATTTTAGGATAAGTATATTACAGGAATCTCAATTTCTAGTCCAATATTTACATGTATTTTGGGGAAGGGGGGATTGGGGGGCAAGTGTTTAAATTATGCAGTATTTAGCGATCATAATAAGAGTCTGTTAGCAGGAGATGTGTGTGTAGCGTGAATGTGTGTGTGTGTATTTGTGTGTGTGTGTTTGTGTGTGTTTGTGTGGATGTGTTTATGTCTGTGTGGGTGTGTGCGTAAGTGAGTGCATGTGTGCTAAGTTGCGGAGAATCAGAGCAGGCTGTCTGTCCAGTTTAAGTGTTCAGCAGTCTGATGGCTTGTAGATTGAAACTCTCTGAGCCTGTTGGTATCAGACCTCATACTCCGATATTGTCTGCCCGATGGTAAGGGAGTGAACAGCAGGCCTTCCCCAGGCACCATTTCGCGTAGATGTCCTGGATGGGGGGAGCACGGTCCCAGTGATGTACTGGGCCGTCTCCACCACCCACTGGAGGGCCTTGCGGTCGTGGATGAAGCAATTCCCGTACTAGGCCGTGAGGCAACCAGTCAGGTCGCTCTCAATGGTGCAGCGTTGGTATTTGGAGAGGACCCGGGGTGACATGACGAATTTCTTCAGCTGCTTTAGGAAGTAAAGACGCAGTTGCGCCCTCTTGACAAGAGTGGTTGTGTTGTTGGTCCATGACAAGTCCTCGGTGATGTGGAAGCCGAGAAACTTTAAACTGCTGACTCTCTCTACTGCAATCCCGTTGTTGTCCTGGCACCACAATGCCAGTACACTTACCTCCTCCCTGTAGGCTGACTCGTAGTTGTTGGTTATCAGGCCTACAACCGTGGTGACGTCAGCAAACTTGATGATGGAGTTGGGGTCGTGCAAAGTCACACAGTCGTGGGTGAACAGGGAGTACCGCAGAGGGCTGAGGACACACTCCTGGGGTACACTGGCTGTGTGTGTGTAATGGCTAGGAGCTGCTACATACTGTAAGGTATTTAGGCAGTCTTAGAACACACTCTGCATTATAAGGGGGTTGGTCAGTGTGTGTTCGTTTGTATGTGTGTGTGTGTGTGTGTGTGCGTGTGTGTGTAGTAGTGGTAGTAGTGTTACTCTGGTACGGTAGACTTAGTGGCTCCCTCCATTAGGCAATAAGCTAATGTAGATCACCTCTCTGGGTGGAAACCCTCCAGTGCCAGTAGGACAGTGTTGCCTAGTTCCGCTCCAAACCAAGTGGGTCAAACTGCTCCCGGCAGACTGCTGTGAAAGCACAGAAAGCAGCCGTCTCTTCCGGTTACCCTCCGGTCAAATGAGATGACCTTGTTAATTGGATGTTATTATTTATACCTGTCCAGACCTTACAATATTTAGCAAGCAGAGACTTATTAAGCTATTTTAACCCATTACTTTATTTACTGCATTCAGATGCCTATGGTGTATTACTGTAGAGGTACAGAAATATCTGTCCCATTGAGGATGGATCTGCTCCATTTATAGAGGATCAATCCAGCCATGATGACAGGTATCTACAGTCAGTTGTTGTAGGCTAATTCCGATGTCCTCATTAAAAGGTGAAAGAAACCTCACATTTGTAAGGGAAGCCTTCCCAGTCAAAAGGAATTACAGAACATCAGCCTTTGTCTAGCCTATGTCCTGCTGATACAAGGTAAACCCTAGCCTAACTGTCAATTAGTCCTTTCCTCTTCTGATCTCAGTTCCATATTAGGAATGACTTTTGGGTCATTATCATAAAGGGCATTTAGGAAAGTAATAAACTATAAGTAATTAACTTATAATAAGCTATAATAGTGAGCAGTTATGTTAGCTTTTCCATAGAGATAAGATACATGTTATCTCTTTCCTCTGCATGTTGTTTGTATTGATCTCTATGTAAATGTTTGTCTGTTTCCACCAAGAACCGCATTGTCCTCTGGGCCGCAGTATCAGTGAATTATGTTTTACAATCCCAAATAACATCAAGCAATCAATCAATACATCCCAAAACAGATAAAACAGCTTTGTGTGGTTAGTCACACGCTCAGGTCAACTCAAAGGCTGTCCCGGAGGAGCATAGTGAGCCAGGCAGGACCTGCTGTCCATACAGGTAATAGAGGACCTCCATCAATGGAGGAAGTCATTTATAGGTCACAGACCCTGAATACTGTCCCAGGGAACCACCTTCTTCACCACTCGTAATCTCTATGGAGAGGAAACCGTAGCCCAAAGGTATGACCTCAATTTCAACACATTAACAACATATTTCTCCAGGACCCCATTCTGCCAAATAGCCACAAGGTTTCTTTCAGAGGCAAGTTAATAAGGGAGTATCTCATATTGCATGCAGCTGAACGTCTGCTTGACAGCAGAATATATGTCTCTTGCTGCCTCAGTAGTTTACTGTGATTGCAAAGCGACACAGTCTTTGAAGGCTTTTAGAAATCTACCAAGCTTAGCAAATATGGTACATACGGGACACACTGGCAACTACACAAACAATTTAATCCTAATTTCAGCAGCACACTGATGGAGGAGATTTTCTCTATCGATTACAGGCTCCTCTGCTAGGGCTTTTTAGTTGCTACGGCCTATCTCCTTCTCCAGCCATGTCCTGCCACACATTGATCAAATGCTATCAAAGACGTGAAAAATCGATAATGTAAATGTTGGTTTGTGAGCAAGCCGTGAAGAGGAGCATCTCTGAAGGCTGTGTGCTGGATGTCCCCCTGTGGTAAAGGATTTCAAATGTAAACTAAAAATAGACAAGGCTTAAAGATCTGTCAGTAACACGCAAAATCAAAAAGTTGTCTAATTGTTTGTTTATTTCTTTGAGCTATGCCTTTGTTTTCTCAAATGTTAAGCTATGCTTTAGAGTAGGGATCTAGTAGGGAACTAGTTTCAGCCACAGGCCAAAATTTTGTTTCAGGGGGTCGGAACATAAATACAAATCATTTGTAGATTGCAAATTGACCACAAGAAGCCTAAAAAGATAATATAACTGAAACATAATCATTTCAAACCTTGCTTACATTTGTATACGATCACATATATTTATCTATGATGCATGGGAATACTTGGAGCTGATTTGCTGGTGTTTTTATAGTATTTTATGTCTAACAATAACACATTTAAAAATAAAAAAAATAAAAAAAAATAAAAAAAATAGTTTTTCTTTGCTCAGAAAATGCTGGGGGCCAAATAAAATCATCCACGGGCCACCAGTTGGGTTACCTTGCTTTAGGGGCATATAGGGGATTATAGACACAATGAGATAGTAACCTATAAGACAAGAACCACAAAGCACTTTCACCAAGACTGACATTCCTCTAAGAATATGGGTTTGGTCTGATAGCAGACAAAATATGTAAATGTCTTCGCTTTGGATTTCAAAGGAGATTCATTTTAAATTCTTGCAACACCATCTGGAGAAAACATTAGAGAGGTTCTAAGGATACACTGTAAAACCAAATGTTTTCTGTAACACTTTTAAATGCTTCAAGGCATTTAGAATTTAAATGAAAATGCCTCACCTGTCATGATTGTGTTCATGCCTGCGCAGCAGCAAATGCAAACCTGTAGTGTAGTCAATGTTTAAAAAGGCTTCTGAAGTTTGTAATTTTCCCTTTAAATGTCCATTAATTATAATCCACATAATGATTCACATTTCATGTTGCTGCAGGATTATTTTCCTGCTGTGAGAAATTATTCTAATTAAGATAGCATATCTATATCTGCGCACGTTCGTCCACACCAAAATAATTCCAGCATCCAAACAGCACCCGCCATTTGATGAATGGAACACCAAAAGGTGTAATGACATTCAGCTATTATCATTAGGCCTACTCTCGTAGCCTGAATTAATTGATGCATCTTTATGACAAATGAACCTTTTTCGTCAAAAGAAATTCGGGACATCTGTAAAGGGTTTGAAATACGAGGCTCTCGCAGGATGACAAGCGCACCCACATGGAAGAAAAATTGTTTAAAACATGACAGAGAGGTGGGGGTGTTCGTTAAATTTTTTTGGGGAAAAATCTTCATATTTACCACTGTAGCAGTTCAAAATTGCATTTAAAACAAATAGGAGAATGGTTAAATTAGCATTACAGTATATAGAGCCCCCCCGACGTAATTCACACTGACATCGGAGAAAAATAAAAACTGACTGATGAAGAAGACTCTCGTAATAGATCCAGTGTTATGGTGATTTTGCATGATTATGCATGTTTTTATGCTTACCTCATATCTGTGAAATGGTTTGCATTGTATTTCTTGTATCCTTTCATCTCAGTTGTAGTTGATATGCTATATCATTATCTCTGGTAATGAGTGCTAAAATGCGGATGAAGTTATTTTGATCTAAATAATCAGAGCGGAGAGAGGGAGAGAATGAGAAACAGAGAAGGAAAGTGAAAGTAGAGAACAAATGTTGTAGAGTAAGGAGGAGAGAGAGGTGATATGGAGAGATGAGAGAGAGGTGATATGGAGAGATGAGAGAGAGAGAGAGAGAGAGAGAGAGAGAGAGAGAGAGAGGGAGGAGTGGGTGGAACCAAACACTGAAAATGTCATCTACATACATGATATGGAGAGATGAGAGAGAGAGAGAGGTGATATGGGGAGATGAGAGCGAGAGAGAGAGAGAGAGAGAGAGAGAGAGAGAGAGAGAGAGAGAGAGAGAGAGAGAGAGAGAGAGAGAGCAGAGAGAGAGAGAGAGAGAGAGAGAGAGAGAGAGAGAGAGAGAAGATAGGGGAAGATAGCATGTGCGTTAGTGCTCTCTGTCTGTCACTGTGCCTAGCGGTGACAGGCCGGTGGGAGATATACGACAATTGAATCAGTAAGGCAGCGGAGAAGCTATGTGCCATGGATTTATAGGCATTCAGAAAGCACCTCAGCAACACGGCCAGACACTGTCACCCAGCTTCGACCCCTCAAAAACATCTCCTTCAACACAGATCATAGGACAGTCTCACAAATCTTGTCAGCATACTCCACTCCACACACATGTTCACACGATCATTGGCACGCACACACACACACACACACATCCATCCCTAGTCTAATCTTATGTCCTAGTAGTCATAAAGCATCTGCGGAGTCAATCACTTATATAACACAAACCCCACCATGCTACTGTACTGTAATTCTAGTGTGGCCATCCATCGTCAAGTCATGCTGAGCCAGTGGTCCAGCGGTCCACACACGTTACTCTGCCTTTCAGCCTTTCTCTATCTCCCCTGCATGTCTGTCCAGGCTGTGTCCTGACTGTCCTCACCCGACCTGACTTGCCTTTAATCTTAATGCAATTGTCATCGATTTTCTCCGCAGTTGAAAACAATTCACTTGTCAGCCCATACTGGGTGAAAATATATGGGACCTGGCGGGAGCTGTAGAACACTGTTGATGGCTTCACCTTGACAGAGCACATAAAACTGTCAACCTCAGCCCAGACAGATATCCAGTTAATCCTTAAGAGTCTAAACCGGGGTGAATTGTTTGGAATTGTTTTAAGATGGTCATATCAAGGATCATTTAGCAATTTGATTTGGAATGGTAACACTTTACTTGACACCCAGTGTTATAGCACGTTATGACACGGTCATAAGCATGTTATAATAAGTCATAACAGCTGACATAACTTGTCATAACCTGTTATAATATGGTCATAACACTGTCATGACACATATATTTAGACCTGTTGTGACATATATTGCATTATTTTATGGCTGGTTATGACACCTACTTAACAGTGTCAAAACCCACAAAACCTACCACACAAGGCAAAACATTCCATTACACCATAGCCTATGTGTCAACAGTATGTTCATTTTTATTTTATTTACAATATTAAATTATCATTGTAATTGCGCACACATTGATGTCAGACATGCAACAACCCCAATGCTCTGTTGCTGATGACTGGGATGAATGCAGGAGCAGATTTCAGGAGCAGGACAAGACACCCCCTTTTTGACTGATGACTGATATAAGGGCATGTATGTGATAGGCCCATCTGGCTTATATGATTATGATGGTCATAATGCCTCTTCACAGTGTCATAAAGTGTATTTTCTTAGTCCAAGCAAAGTGACACAGGAGGGTCATAATGCAGTATGCCATTGGAAGGGAGGACAGTAGCAGGTGACCGAACTGTGATTCGTGACTACTATCATTTTCCATTTTAGCCAATTCAATAGCAGTCATTCTGTTACTGATTTTTTTCCCTATTCTGTTACAGATTTTGTAAGAGTGTATTTACTACAAGTTATTTAAAATATGATTTTTTTTTAATATGACTGTGAATAATTAATTTCAACAA